GCTCGCCTCCCCTTCTTACAGCCCTTTCAGACACGCAGGATCATTTCCCTGTCCAAGGCCATCTCCTACCCTGCCATATTTCTTTCTAGAGTCTCTTCTGTGGTATTCAGTGGATGCAGCAAGATGAGGAGGAGGGTTTGTGTGGCTTCTCCAGACACTGTTTGTGGAGACCTTAAACTCAATCACCAAGGCTTAAAAACAATTACAACGAAAATGTAATCTGCTTTTTATCACAGGCATACACTGGAATTTGTAAGTCATATCTGTCATAATACTGAAAAACAAATGAAGACACAGTTTTCTCAGAGTTGTGACGTTTCCCCACGGAAGTGTCTCAATGGAGCACCCAGATTCTGCTTCTGCCTGCACAGGATGCTTTCACAGGGGCTGGGAGCTCAGCCAGAGTTAGGGTTCCCAGCCTTCTAAGGGTATGGGACAACCTAGACTGTGTGAACTGTTTGCTCACTGTCCTATGCCTGGCTCTTTCTTCCTACATTTCTCAATGATCCTCAGCAACCTCAACCACCTTCCCTGGGGTGGGGGTAGGGAGGTCCTGGTGTCCTGGGAAAGATGCTCGGTCACCTTGTTTTCCTGACTCACTGGCCCTCTTCTCACTCAGAGGTGCTCTGGACCATTCATTCTCAGGGTTTTTCCTTTTATGAATCAATGCTGTGGAACACAGCCCTCCTGGTGTAGCATGGGTGTTTAGCACCTTGGTCAGAATAGTTTGACTACCTGCTTGAGACAGTAACAAGACTGGACCTGCTGACATTCATGCACATGAGTAGGAGGGTCATTGGACCCTCACCTCTGATTAGACTCACTCCCTTCTGCATACCACACTCCCAATTGCAATACTGCCCTAGATGTTCACAGTCTGGAGAGTGTATGGGACAGAAGGTTAATGGGTGAGGACAGCTTTCAGGAGGCCATTAGCCATGTCAGGTGGGACTTTCCAGTGGGCATCTGTTTGCGAGTCACCCATGCTCCTATGAAGTCACAGGACTAGATGGGTGGGTCCTGTGGTCTATCGATGCTGTCCTGTCTGGGATGAATGAAGATTTGTTCTAGTTTTCGTCAGAAAAACCTATGCAGCACTTGGCACCAAGACAGAGATAGGACAAAACCAAGGGTGAGTTTTGGAGGAGCAGCTGCAGGGGCCTTGCTGTAGGGTGACACAACATGCAAATGAAGCTAAGCTGTCTGAGGGTGGCACACTGCCCAGAGGCAAGTCCTTAGTGGCTATCCTTCCTGAGGGGGTAGAATAGCATGCTTCCTTGTTGTGGTTGCATTTGTACTGTTCCTGCTGTGGGTGATAAGACATGCAAAGGAGGCTGAGCTGTCTGCCCAGAGGGAAAGCAAGGATGGAAAATTCATGGAGCAAATCCTGGTGGTGGCATCTTCTTGAGTGTCTTATGGGGTGGCATTTGTTCTTGACATGTGATCCAATAGGGGTGTATAGGGAGATCTCAGAACTACATTGTAGATCTTGAAAGTAGCATGTATGGGATGTTTATAAGAGAGCCATGGAGAAGCTGTACTTCCCTTGCTGTGGGTGATAAGACATGCAACTGAGGCCCCTCTCTGCCCAGAAAACTTGCCTGCTTGAAAAGACATCATATTAGCCTTCGATCTGGTAGGTAAACAGTAAAGGAGAGGATGCTTTATCATTTTGTACAGCTGGGGGATGTAAGGAAAGTTGGAGCCCAGTGGGGGATGTAAGGAAAGTTGGAGTCCAGTGGGAAGAACTGAATAGTGCTATGAATGGGAAGATGTAGTAGAAAGGATGTTGAGGGGACTGGGCAGGACAGAGGTGGTATTGGTACCCACCTCACCAGACTAGATCGGAGTATGTTCACCAGAGAGTTGAAGGAAGGTAATTCAGCAGGGGCCTTGGGACTGGCAATGACTCAGTGATGGGTTATGATCTTTATGAGGTAGGAGGGGCTCTGGCAGATCTCAGTGATTTATACTGGCATATAAACTGGGTTCACAAAGAACAGACAATCAAGAGGGAATGAAGAAAAGAAAAAGCAGACATAGATGACACAAAAGCAAGCGTGGGAAGGATTGTGTTGAGATGGAGTTTCTAGGGCAAAACAGTCAGCTAGATTCAGTGCTTGTGGTCTCTGAAGACTTAACCCTGAAGCAGTAGTCCACAAAGGGGTAAAGAGAGGAGTAAACGAGAGCAGTACAGGCACGAACACTGACCGTCAGCCCTTCAGTGTGTGCTATGTGCATTTCTTTCCTGCAGGACAGTGCTGTGGGGGTGGACACTGTTTGCCCAGCCAGGCCCTTTCGACAGCTAGGTGTCCCTAATGGAGAGGCAGCAGCCTCCCACTCTGCCTGGAGCCTGTTAGCCCCAGGGAGTGGAGGGCATAGCAGACGAGGCATAGCCCTATCCTCCTTGGCATCAGACCACGGCAATTAGTGCAAGCCAGGCCCACCTGAGCTCCTAGGTGTGGAAAAATGTAGTGACCCCTTGGTAGCACCCCAGGAAGAGCAGATGACAGGCCCACCTATAACATCGTATCCAACATTGCTCTTTTGAAAAAAAAAAATTGCTACAGATGTCTGGGATTTTTCATGCTATTTTGGACCTTACTTGCTAACTTTATTTTGGCTTTGAGACATGATCTCATGGGTCCCAGTCTGGCCTCTAACTAGCCAAGGATGACCTTGAACTTTTGATCATGCTGTCTCCCCTTCTGAGTGTTGGAATTACAGGAGTGTACTACCAAGCCTGGTTTTTGTGGTGCTAGAGATTGTGCATGCCAGACCAGGACTCCAACCTGTCTGAGTTACATCCTGAGCCATTTTTTTTTTTTTTCTGCCTTAAGACAGTTGGTGAGTCTGCCCACCATCTGTAATATATAATTCTAGCTGCTGAGTATCTTACAGACTTAGAAAAGCATCTGCAAGTGCAGGCAAGTATACTTAAGGACCAAGAATGGGAAGTTATCCTGCATGACATCCAAGGACCATGCACAGCTGTGGAGTTCTGAGTTTTATGGCTGGATGACATGCAGATGATACCCATTAAAGTGATTAAGAAAATCCTACAACAGCCTGTACCTGTAAACTTTAAAACAAAGATTTCTGAAGTTAGGTAGCCAGTATGAAGGGGAAAGGACACTCCCAGAAGCTGCAAGTTTACCAAATGAAAATCTTTGTCAGGGGTGGGCTGTTTTCCTTTGATTGTTGGCCAAGGTTGCCCCTGGCGTCCCATAACAACGCAGGCCATTGCCACTAGATGGTATTGGAACTAGATGGTATAATGATATTCCTGAAGATAACGCCTGCTGATTGTAGGATGTGCATAATTCAGACAGTCTGAGCAGAGAGCTCCCTGCTGGGAGACGGATGTTTGGAAGCACCAGGTGTTATGTAGACTGCTAGGGGAGAGTTGTCACAAATGGTCCTGCTCATCTATGGACACCAGTGGTAACGTTACCTGTGTGCCAGGCGGAGGTGCCTCTGGTACATAATGGTACAGCTAACTTTCTGATTGTCTTTAAGAACTGCTCTGCAGGAAGGAACTCATGTTGGTACTGTAAAATAGAAACAGCCTTTACCTAGAGGTCATAGTGCCCTAGTGTGGAAATTACTTTGTAGTTAAATGGTTATGAGCCTGTCATATTGTGTGGTAAACATTTATGTTTATCCCTATAGATGACTGCGCTGTCCGCATCAGCTGTACAGAGGATCTCCTTTCTTTCTCTCTTTCTTTCTTTCCCACGAGTAAAAGTTACTAAGACTCACAGGCCATCAAGCTGCAGAGAAAAAAGTGGCTGTTGTTATGACCCAGTTGTTCAATGCTCAGTCACAATGTAAGACAATGGCCAAGCATCTGTCACCTCCTGCACTGCTCAGAGAATGTAGCAGCAGGAGAGGGGAGTGGAAAGAAAGCCTGAGGAAGACTGGAGTCCTGTACCCATCTTCAGAGCAAAATGTAGCCTTTACCCTCTTAAGGCAGCCTCCCCAGCTGCGCTGCCTTGCAGGAGTATCTGAGGAAGTGGACTAACTGAAGGAGACATCCATTTAGTTTTTAGAAGAGGAATAGATTTATGCCAGGATGGGGCTTTTCTGCGGTGCAGCTGTTTTGATGTCACCTATATTACTGTAAGTTACACTTCACCCAATGCTTCTCTAAGCAAGCCGCATAAAGCCATCGGTTCGCCAAGCGTACATTCATTTCTGTGGTCTATTGTTGGTGTTCCATTTAGAGCAACAACCATTAAGCTCGATTTTCTTCACATACACTAGCTAATGCAATATTCAGTACTGCAACCAACTTAACGCAGATATGAAAATTAAGTTTGAGGCAGGATCTCACTTCGTAACCCTGGTTGGTCTCGAACTCAGAGATCCTTTTGCCTCCACATCCTGAATGCTGAGATTAGAGACGGGCACCACCACGCCCAGCCCTAAATCATTTTTAAGGGCATAACAAGGTCCTCATGCAGCACTACCAGGCAGTGCCATTCTTCCTCGCATCAAAGGATAAGCTGAGGCCGTTACTCTCCGCGATGGAGTCTATCGCCCGATCTGCATTTCTCAATGTCCCGGGGCAAAAGCGCTACGGTGAGGGTGAGGTCCCCTCGCCTCACCTCGCCACGTTCCCCGTCGTGAACTGTGGCCACCACCTTAAAGTTTTCTCTGCCTGAGGGAGAGCCAAGGAGGGTGCAGTTAATCCCATCCCGTTCTACAGATGTGACAGCGGAGCTCATTCGCCCAGCGCCTCCCTGTAGCCCACGAAGATGCAGCCGTGGCCACACGACCACTGGACGCTGCGAATATCGGATCCCGGGCGACAAGCAGCCGCCGGCCTCAACATCCGGGGCCAGATCCGGAAACCTCCCTTCCGGTTCCCAAGTCCGCGTTTCGGAAGTGAGTCACTCTGCCAGCACAGAAGATGGCCTCCAGCTCCTCGACCGCCCAGAGTGTCGACGGTAGGGTGGGCGGGACCCGGAAGTTGCCCGGCCGGGGAATGGCGGCCTGTGGGGGCGTGGCTTCCGGCGCTCCTTGCTTGCAAGTAGCCGCGGCTTAGAGCGCAGGCGGCAGCTGACAGGCGCTTTTCTTCAGACGGCTGCGGCTGGAGCCCAGCGAGGCGGGCGGCCTCCAGCTCGCGTCCCCGTGTCCCGGCCCGCGAAGTTCCAGGGCGCCGGGGCATGGAAGAGGGGAAGATGGACGAGAATGAATGGGGTTACCACGGCGAAGGCAACAAGAGCCTTGTGGTGGCCCACGCGCAGGTGAGCGGCTGGCGGGCAGCGCGGCTCCGGGCCTCACCGACGGCTCCGGCAGCCCTGTGCCTGGTACCTTCCAGTTTGGGCCGTGACTCCGCCTCCAGCTTCCGCTCAGGTGGTTCCCCGGCACCCTTCCTCCCCCCATAACATCCTCAGCTCCCTACTCGTCCCTGTCTCCGTTGGCCCCCCTCTCCTCCAAGTGTCTCGTCTCGGTTCCCTGTCCCCTCAGAACTCTTTCCCACACCCTGTGGGCGCCGCGTGGCCTCACGCTGGGTAGCCCCCGCTGGGATGCTCACGTTGCTGCCGGGCCACGGTGGGTCACAGGCTGAGCCTGGATCAGGGCCTGGGCGCCACCGGCGAAAGTACCCAGAGTGCTGTCACTCTCAGCAAGGAGTCCAGCCCCCAGAGACCACAGAGCTGCTGTTAGGAATGGGCGCTGCCACAGGTTCGCGTCCACATCATGAACTTTAAGTGGTGCCTCCTTCGTTCAACTTGAAAGGGGGTTTCAGAAGATGAAGTGATTTCCAAGTGGGCGGATTTAGGAAGGGAACGTATGCATGTGTGTGCAGCCCCAGACTCTGACATCTTGCCGTCTGATACAACCTAGCAGGAATGTGGTGGGCTGGCGGGGTAGAAGGCAGGAGGTGTCATGTGAGGAGGTTAATAGCGCAGGGAGCCGGGGTGATTCCCAGCGCTACCACTGGTGGAGGAGCAGTAGGCCGCATTAGGAAAGTGGGGCTAGGAATAGCATGCATTCTGTTTTCATGAATTTAAGATTGTGCACTTGTACTGAGTGTTGAGCAGCCTTGAGCTTGGGCCTTGAGTCTAGCTGCGGTCTCTGCCCTACTGCTGTATTTGTTCAGACTGTGGACCAAGGATGAGAGAGCCTGGAAGGCAGTTTTTTCCCGTGCCTTTTGTGACCACAGTGAACAGATGTTTTTAAATGGGATGGGTACTGGGCATGTCTGTAGTCCTCCTTCCCTTTTGAGAGGTGAACTTTGCATCTCTGCTCAGCTTCCCAGGCCTGCCTTATCCAGTCCAAGAACGAGGGAGACCTTTACCAAGTCTCTCCAGCTGTGGCCATTTTTTTTCTGAGCTAGTATCAGAGTTGAAAAGCTCTTACAAAGTCCCCTGTCAGCCCTCCTCCTCTGTAGTAAGTGTACATAGCTGTGCTTAGTCCCATCCTGCAAGGGCTGGGTATGCAGGTGGGGACATGTGCATTGTCACTGGCCAGCAACACTGAATGAAAATGTGTTGTTCTGCCATGTGCAAACGGAATGAGAGAGGAGCCTTCTGTGGGGTATAGGTCTTTGGGTCTTAGGGTGGAGGAGCCCAGTGAGGGCTGCAGAAGTATATAGGGCATGGTTGGGTAGGCAGGGAGGAGAAGGGCCTGCCAGATCATGGAGAGGAGTTGGATCAGGGTTCTTCACATCCCCTACTCTCAGGGGTAGCTCCAGAAGGTTCCATTGTTATTTGTCACTCTGAGTTTCATCTTCATTTGTGACATCACTGCAGTGTTTCTATTCCCAGGTACAGAACCTTTAAGTATCCCTTACCCATCTGGTGCAGACAGGCTTCTGATACACTTGCCAGGCTGTCAGCAGCTTGGTCACTGTCCTGTCTGCTGCCACAGGCATGGACCCTGAGGGGGCTCTTGGGAGGGTTATGCAGTGCAGGTCTTCCTCCATGCAGCCTGAGGGCATGACACTTTTGCTACCAGTGATTTCAGTCACTAAAACCTGTGGCCTTCCTCAAGGCCACAGTAGCTTAACTCTCCTAAGACAGCTGCATTTGCTGCCCTTACCTTCCATTGTTGGTTTTGGCTCAAAATCTGTGGGGTTACTTTACATTTTGTTTGTCATTCTGTCTCTTAGTTGTCCAGGGTGCCTAGCCTTTTGGGCTGTGTTGGGGTATCATGAGGTGCTGGGAAGCAGTGCCCACTGTTACTATGCAGAGCTGTCCTTTCCCCTCCTTATTGACAGGTGATTTGAAAGCCCAGAAAGAACACTGGTCAAAACTTGAAGAGAACTGCTCGTTGCAAGTTGGTGTGGTTTTGAACCCTCTCAGAGACTCTGTGGAGGCCCCAGATCATTTTTGTAACTGTATAGTTTCTGGACCTTTTAGGTGTGAACACCAATCTTTAGGGGTCATCTCAGTTAGACTCAGCCTTGTATGTTAGGATATACAACTTCTAATTATCATTAACTTATATATCACAATGTAAACTGTTGAGATGGTTATTTTTACAGTGGATGGATTAGGTAAACTAGGCCAATATCCTACTTAATATGGGGAAATGTTAATATTAACTGGAAAAAGGAAATTACAGACAGGTAGTGTGGTTGTAGTTATATGTTACTGAAAGAAAATACATCAAAATGTTACAAGTAGTTACATATTTACATTATATTATTTGATTGCTTGATTGAGAGTGAGTCTCACTGTGTTGCCCGGCTGACCTAAAACTCCTTGGCTCAAGCCATCTTTCTCATCCTTTTGAGTAGCTGGGATTGCAGGCTGCCAGGTCTGGCTCCTTTTTCTTTTTTAAAACATTTTCTGCACTATGGAAGCCAGAGGTAGGGAGAGCTCTGTGAGTTTTGGTCTATCTAGCTAGTTAGTTCCACGCCAGCCAGAGCTACAAAGTGAGATCCTGTCTAAAAAGAAAAAGAAGAAGAAGAAGGAAAAAAAAAAAGAATGTAAAACTTTTTTCATTAACTATATAGTCATTAACTGTATGTTAGAACCAGGAAAAAAGAGCTATGGGCCTTGCTTAGTGTTAAATTGTGCACTTAGCATGCTTGAGGCTGAGTTCAGTTCCCAACATCAAAACTATCCCAGGATTGAAAAGCACACAGGTGTGAACTTTAGTGTAGGTCACAAAGTGAAAGAATGTATCACATATTGATAAGATCCCAAGGGGAGTTGTGGAGACAGATTCCTAAGGGGTGGCAACCCTAACAACATGTGAAAAGGACAAAGGGAAAAAAAAAATCAGGACAAACACGTTTTTTAAAGTTTGTAGTTTTGGATCTAATTTCTGTTCTCATGTGCCTGATAAGGGGAAACCTGGAAGAGAAAACAGATACTGTTCACAAAGATGTCCATCACAGGGTTATTTGTGGTAGCTTAGGTAGACCATCTCTTCAGTGCTGGAGGAACTAGCCTCCTTTGTAGAGATGCTCATCATACCTTGCTTTTCCAGCCCCATGGTGTACACTCAAACCCTGGGCCCATCTTCAGTGTCCATCCAGAACTGGTTGGAAGAGTTTGAACTTGTCACTGCCATCTCTTGAAGACATGATATGTTCTACACTCACTCTTCAGTGGTTTGGTCTGGTCAAATCCTGTTTCTCTGCATGTTCGCTCTTTATTCTTTAATCTGGTGTTGCTAGGTAAGAATTTATTTTCATATTCCCTTAGGTGATGTTTAGCCTTATGTTGCCTTGCTAGTATAAGGATGTGCTTGTCTTTTCTACATTTACATTTTCAGAGGTAACCTTTCTTTCTCCTTGTCTCCTTTCTGATTAGTCAAAATTCAAGAGTTTAGCTCTCAGTACCTTTCTCTGTCTTCAGAGAGCAGCGATGCAGGAGGCGTTTGTGTGTTCAGAGAGGCAGGCTGGTCTGTGCTGGCCCACCCTCATCACACCGTCTGGGTGGGCAGTTCAGGGGGCTCTGGTATTTGTTGGTATTTCTCTGACTGTGCCTGTGGCTTCTGTGAGCTTGACTCTTTTTTTCACATATTGTTGGGGTCACTATCCGTTAGGGGTCACAGAGCTGGCCTGGCCTGTCTCCATAGCTCCCCTTGGTCTCTCAGGATGACATTAGTGTGTAGTACATTCTTTTGACTTAGTGACCTCCCCCCATGGTTCACACCTGTGTTCTTCACCCTGGGTGGATGGCTGGGAGGTTAGGGTAGAGCTATCAAAGGGTAGGAAGGGGGTTGGACAAGGCGCCCGTGCTACTGGTGCTGATGTCAAGCTTTATCCTTTGTTGGTCAGCCTTGTTGTCCATGAGGCTCTTTCTTAGTTGTCATTGAGGCCAAGAGGTGCTGTTGTGAATGTCTCAGCCTCCTGCTTCCTGGGTCCTGAGGATGTGTATTTGGTTGTGTCCCAGATGACAGTGGTTTGATACCTCTTGCTTCTGGTAACTAGCAGACCATGGGTGGTTTCTTTGTAGGTTGAGAGTCTATGTGGAAGTTGGTTTCAAGTGACACATTTGGGACATACAGAGGTTCCCACCTGGAAGTTATCCTCACAGTTTGGAGGGGCTGGGCAGAATGCTGTTTCTGGAACCTGGGGCCAGTATCCTGAGGGATGATGCTTTTTTGTATCCCTTCCCTGAGTTTCCTGGGATCTTTCATGGCCCTTTCCTGGTTTTCTCCTTACCACCTTGTCAAAGGACAGTGACCCCTGGGACATCTGACTTAGTGATTCTTTCTACCCTGAGAATACCTGGTAGGTGGTAAGATAGCTTATCTTCACTGAAGGGCTTTAATTGTAATCAACTCCCCCTCCCCTACAAGTTTGGATCTTAACTGACCCTTGAAGGCCATGTTGAAGTTTAGGACCCCAGTTGATAGTGCGGTTGGAACCTTTAGAGGTGAGGCCTAGTCAAAGGAAGTGAGGTCATTGGATCCTTAGCTTCGAAGAGGGAGTATATTGAAGTCCCAGGCTTTTCAAATTCTTGCTTTCTCTTCTGGCTGAAGTTAGGGAGTAGCTTTCTTCCAGTGTGTACTTCCATCATGACTCTCTGCCTCACCACGGGCTCAGAGCAGTGGGTTAAGCAGCTAGGGATGGAAGCCACACACAAACCAAAGCAAACCTTTTCTTTTTTTCTGCTTATTTTTTATTTGTTTGCTGTTTTAAAATTTATTATTATTTATTTATTTATTTTTATTTGTATGCTGCTTTGCCTGTGTGTATGTTCACATGTGTGCAGTGCCAATGGAGGCCAGAAGAGGGATTCAGGTCCTCTGGAACTAGGGTTACATATGGTTGGTAGCCACCCTGTGGGTGCTGGGAACCGAACCCAGGTCTTTTGGAAGAGCAACCAGTGCTCCTCTCAGCTGCAGAGCCATCTTTCCAACTCCTCTTTTCTTCCTCTTAAGCTTTTTGTCATGGTGCTAGAAAGCTAGTGGTCCTGCACACACCTTTGGTTCCAACACCCCATGCAGAGGCAGTTGAATTTCTGTGAGTTTGAGGTCAGCTTGGTCTATAGAGCAAGTTCCAGGACAGCCAAAGTTACACAGAGAAACCCTGTCTCAAAAAAACAAAATAAAACCAAAAACCAAAACAAAAGAAACAAAAAAGGAAGAAAGCAAGAAAGCTAGCACTCCTTTGAGTTTCACTTTGGGAGGTTCTGTGTGGCCTCATCTATTATTGGGTGATTGTTTCTTTTGCCTCCATATTACTCTGCATAAGAACAGAGTAGCAGAAGAAAGTGGCAATCACCCAGCAGCTTCCCGCTTAGAAGATGATTTCCAAACTCTCTTCCAGTTACATGCCTTTGTTGTGGCAGCAAATCCTCTGTGGCTCTCTTTTTAGCCTCCTTTGGCCAGTGACACCTCTTCTACTCAGATTTTGCTAATGGGAGATGTTTTGGGATTGATTTTTTAGTTGTTTTATATTGTCATTGGACATTCCTCCAATGGCCTCTGCTCTTCCTATAATAACCCGCCACATCCAGGGTAGGCCCTTTAGGAAGGTTGGTTGGCTCTAGTGAGCTGAATGTGTCTGAGTGCTGATACTAACGTTGACCTTTAAAGCTGATGACTGTTCTGGGGGAGGAGTGGGTGGGTTTCTGGTGATGGATTTGTGGATGATGAATGTGTGGGTGGAGAAAAATTTTCCTTGAAATGGATCCATCACTGCATTGAGATTTTTCTTAGTTGGTTATGGATTGAGCTGCCTGATGGGAAGGGAGAGACTTCCTGTGGTTGATAAAGAGGCTGAGTTACTGTGTATGGATGTGATAACTGAGGATGCCTTGTGGAGCAATGGCCCAGTAATGGAGGAGCAATGGGCCACTATTGGCTTTGCTGTGTAGGCCTTACAAGGCTTATGTCCATACTGTTTGCCTGGGACTAGCCAGCACCCCAGTACCTTAGCTGACAACTCAGCAGCCACATGGAGCTGGAAATGTGATGTGGAGATGTCCCTAGGATTCAGGCCTACCTCCAAACTCTGTTCCATTGAACATGACCTTGACCTCAAGGGCCAAAACCTTAACGTTTGGGCTTTCCTTCAGGCCAGGTTTCCACATTTTATACTTTGGGATTCATGTGGCCCACTCAACGGGAGAAGAGGTGGTAGAGTTTGTGGTTCAGGAGTGTACTCTGGTGCCTGCATGTGCTGGTCTGCAGTAGTGATAATATTGGTGTTAATATGTGCTGGGGGAATAGTGATGCTATTTATGTTTTCAAGGAGGAGCCAACAATATTTTCTTCCTTAGGAATTTTTTCCCCTAGATGGTCTCATTGGCTTATAACTCACTCTGTAGACCAGACTGATCTTGGACTCACAGAGCTGCCTGCCTTTGTCTCCAGTGTATTGGGATCAAAGATGTGTGCCACATCTAGCTTTTAGTTAGTCTCTTTATGACCTAGGCTGGAGTAGAACTTATTCTGTGGATCACACAGTTGTCCTTCTGTCTCAGTTTCAAGTTTTAGGACTGCAGGTATGAATCATATTGCCCAGCTATATTAACTTTTTATTTTCTTGGTAGGCTAGAGACTTGCTTTCTGAATTAATGTTGATGTTCTTTGTGTGTGTGTGTGTGTGTGTGTGTGTGTGTGTGTATGTTTGTGTGTGTATGTTAATATGTAAAGGAAATGTATAGTATCCATTTGTAAATAGGCCAGCTGTCTTGTGTGTATTAGGAGCACAGTGGCTGGGACTTTGGAAATCTGAGTTCATATTAATAATAAGATGCTGCCAGGTGTGGGGTCAGTTAGCTCCTATTGTTGGCATTTGTGTGTACAAGCCCTCTGAACTGGTTTGTCTGAGGTTACAGTGGGAGTTCCTGTGATAGAAAGGCTCAAATGAATCTAGCACCACCCTTCCTGGGCCTGCTTGGCTAAAGTGTTGTGCATTTATTAGCTCCCTGGGAAGTGGAGAAAGACCCTGTTTTCCTCTGGTTGCAGTAGAGCTCAGAGAGAACAAACTTGGTTCCTGAAGGCTCCCTATCTATGTTGGGCAGACAGAGTGAGGTTTCCCTACACATAGGGCAGGGCAATGGGGCTCTGACCTTGCAGATTGACTGTAGGGCATCCATATATCTTGTTCAAGCATGGCCAGGGTCTCTGTGGAAAACATATTCATTCCTGTCATTGACATTAATTTCCTTTATTGTCGAGGGACTGTAATCAGACAGGCTCTTGAGCAGAGCAGCACTATTGTGCCCAGGTGAAGAGAAAACCAACTTTCAGAAGAGTTTCTAGGAGTTAATTTTAATTAGCTTTTCTGCAGATCTAAAGTGATTCCCAAGGTTAATTGGTGGTGCCTGCTTTGAGCATGGGAGGGAACATTTTTAGCCTGTGTGCCTTGGGTCTCAGCTCCGCAGGCCAGGATTGGCATTCAGCTTTGCAGTTGATTAGCAGTTCATCCAAAGCATGGCTCCAGATGGCAATGGGACCTCAGTAAGAGTGGTTGGAGAGGTTGTTCTTGGTGGTGCATGCCTGTAGTTCTCACATAGTCTCTGCTACTTGGAGGATCACTTGAGCCCAAGAGTACAAAGCTAACCTGGGCAATATATTCTGTCCTAGACCCTTAAAAAAAAAATCTTTAAATTGTTGAGGCCGTGATATTGAGGAGGGGTGGGGCACATGGGAGGAATTAGAGGGAGGAAAGAGAAATGATATTTTTAATTTATAAATTAAAATTATATTTTGATTAAAAATAAGTAGTTTCAAAACATATTTAAATTAAACAAGATGAACTGGGGGACTGGGTAATCCTAACCAGCATAAGTGTGCATGGTTAGGGATCCCCACAGGACCTTGTTGTTTCTTAGGTAACCCCAAATACTGTGTGTGGGTGTTTTGCTTTTGTGTATAGCTTTATACCACATGCATGCCTGAACTGTAGTTAGGGATGGTTGTTAGCTGCTGGGAATTAAACCTGGGTCCTTTGCAAAAGCAGTATGCATTCTTAACCTCTGAGCCATCTTTCCAACCCCCATTTTAAAAGCCTTTCCTGAGTTAGGGTTTCATGCTATATGTCACCTGGATCAGCTTGGAAGTCATGGAAGAGTTTCTTACTTCAGGCGTCCTATGTCTGGGGTTACATGATTCTGTCACCACGCCCAGTTTCGGGGTGGTGGTGGTGGTGTTCACATGTATTTGAAATAGTCTTGCTATATAGTCCAGGCTGGCTGGGAACTCAATCCTCAGCTTTGGGAGGCCGAGACAGGAGAAATACCATGAGGTCAGCCCGGGGTACATACTGTGTTCTGAAGTGAGGCTGTTTCAAAAACAAAAAAAACATCAAAACCAAAACTGTGGTTGTTGGAACCTGGAAATGCTCCTGAACTTGTCACGAGCATCCTTTGAGACAATGTGCACACTTCATTTAACAATTTGTGCTTTAAAAACAAACAACTTTGCTTGCTATTGAAACAGGATCTTGCTAGAAATTGTGATGTGCCGAATGTAAAATTGAGTTGGGCTTGGTAGCACACATCTATGATCCCAGTGTTTGGGAGGTAATAGCAGGATGAATTGAGGCCAGCTATACAGGGAGAGCATATTTAAAAAAAAAATGCAGCCTCACAGGTTAAGAGCATGTCCTGTTCTTCCAGAGGATCAGAGTTCAGCTGCCAGTACTCAACTTTGGGCAGCTCACAACTGCCGCTACTCCAGTTCTAGGGGATTCATTGTCTTCCGAGGCCTTTGAGGGTCCCTGCACTTGTACCTGGGCACATGTTATTACCCCAGTGAGTTCCCCACCCGTGGTGTTTTTCTAGCAAGTCTGTGTACCATGTGCATAACTGGTGCTGGTTGTGAGCTGCCAAGAGGGTGCTGAGACTCAAATCCAGAACTGCTGAGGAACAGCCAGTGCTCTTAACCTCTGAACCATCTTACTAGCCCCTGGGTAATCATTTTTAGTTTCCATATTTCCTTAAGATAAATATCTAGGAATGAGTGGGCTGGGTCAAAGGCCAGATTTTACTGGCTGCCTTGTGCAAGCTTTCTGAAAGTGACCCCAACTGGGTTCCTCCATGCTGCCCTTGGCCCTTTCTCCACAACTGCTGACTCTATTCTGGAATGTTGGGCCAGTATTGATCACACTTTTTGTTATTTTCCAACAGCGATGTGTAGTTCTGCGTTTCCTGAAGTTTCCTCCAAATAAGAAGAAGGTAAGATTGGTGGATTGGCTACAGTCATCACAGCCTTTACTTAAGACCTGGATGTTTTCTTGGGGGTGCGTGTGTGCATGCTTGCTTGTGTGCGTGTGTGTGTTTTGTGGTGCTAGGAATTGAACCCGGAACTTTGCCCAGGACAGGAAAGTGCTCTACCTCTAGGGTGTATCCTGTATCATTCAAATGGGAAGTAATGGGCCCTCATTCCTGATGTGTGAGATCTAACAGACCCTCTGTTTCACTGTGTGTCACTCCATGGTAGGTCTGTCTGCATGATCCCTGGCGTAGCCTGTGGGCCCTGCTCAGAGGCCCCCCAGCCACCAGGTTTCAACTTGATATTGATGAGTTCCTTAGTTGCCACAGCAGAAATGTGTGTGAGAAAGTACAGTGTGTCACACTGGGTAGACAATCCGTTAGGCTAAAATCACAGTGGCTAAGTCATCCAAGGGCAGCATGTGGACCCTCCGTGAAGGCTTGCCTGCCATCATGTCTGCTAAAGTTGCTTCCTAGTGAGAGGCCACAGCCTCTCATCTGCTCCTATTGTCCCAGCACACACTGTGAAGGAGGCTTAGACCCTTGGCCTGACTTGCTTTGTAGAAGGCCAGCTTCCTGTGAGCCATATAGGGCTTACCTGGCCTCCAAGGGCGAGAACACAGTGGGGGAAGGTGGGATTTTTTTGAGGAGGTTGTGTCCAGTGTACAGGATTGATGGATGATTCAGTGTTTCATTAGAGCATCTGGGAGACAGTGTGTCAAAATCTGAGGGCAAAGGTCACAGGAGCTATGGGACATTGGTGGTAGAGATTTAAGAGGCCCTCATGGCTTGTCTCCTAGAAGCATGCAGGAATGTTGTCTTTAACTGGGCAGGTGGGTTGAGCAGGTAGAGGGAATAGGGTGGGGCCCAACATCCTATGGCTTCTACCTCAGCTGTTGAATGATCCATGGTGTTCTGTTTCTATCAGATGTGTCTTGGGGTGGCTTCAGCCTCTTCTCTCCTGTCTGCCCTTGTGTGGTGGCTGTAGTGTGTATGCACCCCACCTAAGGATGCCCTGGTAGGTCTTCCTGGTGTGGAGTCATGTGATCATCCTTCTGTTTCCCAGATGGATTTTTATCAGGAACAGTGACAGGCTACTGGGTGTGTTCTGAGATTTTCTGTCAGGCTAAGCTCTGACAAGATCCAGTTGTAGGAGCTGTGGGTTATCTGCACATACTTTGACCATTCAGCACATTGCTGGGTAGGGCGGTGCATTTTCCAGAGGTTTGTGGGGTGCACAGAGTATAGTGTGTCCTGAGCTGGGCTCCTGGGAAGGGGTGGTATTAGGAGCCCTGCCTGGAGGTCTGTCCTGAAGTTGTCCTGTGCTTGTCTCTTCCAGACCTCAGAAGAGATACTTGAGCATCTGCAGAACATAGTTGACTTTGGCAAAAATGTCATGAAAGACTTTTTGGGGGAGAACTATGTTCATTGTGGGGTAAGTGCTATTTATTCACATCTCAGTTCACATCCAGTTCTGACAATACTGGCATCTCAATGATAGCCCTTATGCACTAAGAATCTTCAAGCTTTCCTCACCTGCTGTGCCATATGGCAGTCACTCAGCCCTGCCAGAGGCTCCTGCATAGTGAAGTTCTCCAGTGAGCACTTGCTATCCTGTGGGATAAGGAATAATGCAGGCCCATTCCTGGATGCTCCTGGAAGAGGCCGTGGATGTGAGCATGGGTGTGAATTGCTATGGATGATACTCAGTGAGGGCCTTAGAAGAAAAGCTTTGAAAACCTTAACATTACTGTTTTGGATTTACTGTTTTGCAGCTGGCCTGTGTTGGGGAGGGACTAGATAAGGGACACTCCTTGGCGCCTGCCTCTCTGACCTGACCTGTCTTGTGAGCTTGGGGCTTTGAAAGTCTCCTCTGTTTTGCGTTTTCTTGGCTGCTGCTGTGTAGCCTGTCCTCCGCATTGTCCAGTGTTGGAGATGTTTGGAGGTCAAGTGTGACCCCTTAGGAGGATTCCTGCAGTTTTTTCACAGGATATGTCCATCGAATAGTGTTTGTACCTCCTCATGTCTTCTTGGACAAAGGTGTTGGAGCTGCCCTCTGCTGGGAGTGATGCTCTCCCTGCCCTGGCATGCTACACTGAGTGGGTGTCTCTGGCTGAGGCTAGGTGAAGGAGGCCAGCTGGGTTCCCTTGAGGAAAGGTCCCAGAAGTTTTGTCCTAGGCAGGTTTCCTTTGTCACTTTGGGGCTCTTTCTGCAGTCACAGTTCTGCCACTCTGAGAACCCAGGGCAGAGAGGAACATGGTTTACACTGCAGAACCAGGCGGGGCTCCAACAGGAGAAGCTGTTGGTGTGGCTGGTCACTGGTGTCATGAGTCCTGGCTGGCTATGAGGAGAGCCAGCTGCCTTTAGGAAACTGAACTGTTTCTATCTCTTAAACCTCTGTGTGTTCTGAAAAACAATAGATCAGCTCTTACTGCCAAATCAGTACATTGATTTTTTTAAAATTACAGCATTTTGGGGATAAAATACATATACTGTGAAATTCACTATTTTAACTGTGTTTAACTGTGCATAGTTCTGAGGCATTAACAGTGTTCAGGACATTGTGTAATCTGTACGTTTTGTATGTTTTCTTACAGGAAGTTGTTCAGCTGCCTTTAGAGTTTGTGAAACAACTGTGTTTAAAAATACAGTGTGAAAGACCAGGTAAGGGTGTTGAACAGTGCTTGCTTTTTGTTTTTGACAGGTCTTTTATGTAGCCCTGTCTATCCTGGAATTCGCTGTATAGACCAGGCTGGCTTTGAACTCACAGAGATCCGCCTGCTTCTGCCTCCCGAGTGCTGGGTTTTAAGGCATGCACTACCATGGTTGTCTTGTTTGTAATGTTAAAAGGCTTTGAAATGTTCAACCCAGGTTAGGTTTAGGCATTTTGTGCCAGTTTTGTGGCCAGAGGCTTAGTTCCCACTCCCATGTCCTGTTTTCTTGTATATGTTGGTGGAGTTTGCTGGCAAGAACCTGACTAAAACTTTTTCTGTCATGGTCATTGATCAGACATGTAAAGTCTTATGTGTTGGTTGTGAAAATGTCTCTTTATCGACCCCATCAGGCAATAATGCTATAGGGTTGTCCACAATTAAATCCTTCCTGATTTGATTCAGAAAGTGTGATAGTGCTTTGGGGTCTGCCGGGGCAGGAGCAGGAGATGGTGGGTTGCTGGACAGTTCATGTCCACAAAGATGGACAGAGGCCAGCTCCAGGGTTCTCCTCCTCTGCCACTGCTCAGGTCCCCATGTCATTCCATACGTAGCTGAGGTGTGATACCTCACAGTGGCAAGAACTATGCTGCACTTGTAGAGGCTGCTGGGTTAAGTCTGCTCTTTGGAAGGGGACGCTGGTCCCGAGGTGCCAAGAGCCCGGTTCCAGCAGTCATGTTGAAGTGACATAGCATCACGAATTAGAAAAAGCATCAAGAGTTGAAAGGAAGTGGCTGTGGTATACTTTTTCTCCCTGTTCCTGTGCAAAGAGAGTGGTGGAATTAGGGACCATCCAAGACTTTTCTCACTTCTGACTCTAGTGCACATTTTAAAGCTCCCCAAAGTCCTGTTCAGGGTTAAAAACTGGCTAGGACTTTAGACCTTGGTTACGTGGCTATGATTTATACCATGGAGTATAAGGATGAAAACTGCCAATTGAAGAGGTGGAGTTGGGGTCCTGCAGAGTCTGAACATCCCCTCCTACAGTGATTGTATGTGACAGCACACTGATGGTTGCCTTCAGGAAACCCTGGAAACCTTGACAGGGCTGACCTTCTGCTGATTAGCTCCTCTCTTCCTCCTATAGGGTTAGCAGTGTGTGGCCTAATCATTTGTCCTAGCTTTCCTGCTTCTCTATTGCCTGCCTGAGGCTATCCTCTCTTGGAACCCTCCCCCACAGGACTCTTGTATTATAGGGCTGTCTCCTGTCTTGACCCTCAGGTGTGACTCTTGTCCTGTCTTCCAGAGTCTCGTTGTGACAAGGACCTGGACACACTCAGTGGTTATGCTATGTGCCTTCCCAATTTAACCAGACTTCAGACCTACCACTTTGCAGAGCACCGGCCGATTCTGTGTGTAGAGATTAAGGTGAGTTTTCATTCATGGTAGGATGACCCTGCAGGTAAAGGGAAAGCTGCTCTCAGGCAGTGTGAGTTCAGCCTTTCTCAGGAGCTCAGCTTGTTTCTTTTCCACACCTTCCTGGTGTTAACAATGGGGAAACCTACCCCACACATCTGCACTTGGAAAGCTGTGGTTAGGGGTCACCAGGAAGGAAGCATGTTGGGTCCCCTTCTGTAAAGGGTGCACCTCAAAAGCTCAGTTTTGGCCATGTGCTTCCTGCTTCCTGCATTGAAGACCCAAATGTAGGGAGCCCTTTGACTAGAAGACACTGCTTTCTGTTCTGGAGGGCTTTCCTAGAGGCACAGAAGCCTGTGTGCTCTTCAAAGGTTCCTGTGCACTGGAGGTCTCAGACTGAGAAGCCCTTACTTCAGCTGCCTAGGCTGAGTAGTTGACTAAGTGCCCTAGAAGGCTTCCCCACCCCAGAGAACCATCACTTCTCCTCTTCCTTCTCACCTCTGAGAAGCAATGACCCTGGGGCATGCGTTGGCCCAAGTACTTGGGCCTTGTGATCCTTGTGGGGCTGGACGTTATGTCTCTCCAGCGACATTGTCCAGAACACTAAGCTCAGGTTGTGTGGGCTGACAACATGCCGCTGGGATCCCTGACGTTCTAGAAGCCTAGCAACTATCAGATGGGCGCCTTGCAGGCCCTACATAGTGACAGTGGGAACAAAGGTTCTGCTTCTTGGAGCTGGGAGCCCTTGGAGCTGGGAGCCCTAGGCCCATCTCCACTCCTTCCAGCCTGCCAGTGAGAGTACAAAGCTGCTCTGTGTTATGCTCCTGCCAGCCAGGCAGGCAGAGCGCCACTGGTACTCCCAGCCAGGGGGCTGCCCTTTTGTCCCTTGGAGGCAGAGAGGCGTATATTGTGAGGAAAGCTGAAAGCACAATCGCTGCGGACATTTCTACCTGGTGCTTTTCTTCTCCATCTCATGATATGTGTGTGTTGAGAAGTATGTGATCCCTCCCTAAACATTTTTTCATTTATTTTACAGCCAAAATGTGGGTTTATTCCTTTCTCTAATGATGTGACCCACGAGATGAAACACAAGGTGTGCCGATACTGCATGCACCAGCACCTCAAGGTGAGAGCCGAGCCAGGTGCAGGAGGCAGAGCACAGGGCGTCTGGGCCTGAGGGGAAGGAAGCCACTGGAGTTTTCAGAAGACTAAAAGGAATTGTTGATAATCCTTTTCATAAGTAGCTCAGATTTACTTTATTTTTTAAGAGTTTTGATCTGTTTTGTTTGGAATGTATTTTGTACACGTGGAGGTCAGAGGACTTGTGTTGGTTCCTTCCTTTCGCCTGTGAGGTCTTAGGGTCAGACTGTTTATGTAGTGCTGGCTGGTTATTAAGTGGCAGGCACCCTGCCACCTGAGCCACAGCCCCAGTCCACGTGTGTGTGGTTACCCCCTCCTGCTTCTCCCTTGAAGCCCCACTTTTTCCCCTCTTGGGGCTCCATTCTAGGTTCTAGTTTCCCTGGCCTTTGAGCATATCCCCATGTGAATATGCAGGGATAGAGATTAGAGAGGCTCTGCTTGTGACATAGCTGGACTATTAGGCGTTCTGAGCTTGAATTTCACGTGTTTTCCATTCCCATCCATTTTCCTGCAGCTTTTATTTTCCTTGATGCTTTTTCCCCCACTTCAAGTTTGTCATGGCCAAGTTGCTGTGCTCTGTGTATTCAGATTGTCAGTGCCTTAGAGATGTGATTAGCAGGTGCTTCTCTGTTTTTCTTGGTGGGTAGTGTCTTTTTAGGCATGCATGCGTGTAATTAAGTTCACTTAATCTTTTTTTTTTTTTCTTTTGTTGTTTGTGTCTTGATGTTGTAGCCAAGCAGTCACTGCCAAACCCAATGGTGGGACTCTTCCCCGTTTTCTTCTAGAGTTTTCATTCTTGATTTTAGATTGCAGCCATTTTGAGTTAGTTTTGTGTATGGTGGGTAAGTGTCCAGTTTCATCCTTTTGCATATAGATAGCTGTCTGATTGTCTCAGTGTCTGTGCCTGTCCTTTCCTCTAAGCATTGGTCCTGGTACCCTTTTCCAAGATGTTGGACGTGTGGATGAGGGGCTCTTCTCTGTCCTTTTATTGGTGTATTTGTCTGTCTTCTTGCCAGTTCCACACTACTTAGGTTACTGTAGTTATTTATGTTGGATGATTTTTTTTTTTTTTTTATTGCTGATTCAGTGTTACAAGAATCCTTCCCTTTTCTCCTTCCTTCTCCCTCTCTTGTTTTTTTTTTTTTTTTTTGGTTTTTCGAGACAGGGTCTGTGGCTTTGGAGGCTGTCCTGGAACTAGCTCTTGTAGACCAGGCTGGTCTCGAATTTACAGAGATCTGCCTGTCTCTGCCTCCCGAGTGCTGGGATTAAAGGCATGCGCTACCACTGTCCGGCTCCCTCTCTTGCTTTTTAAAGACAGGGTCTTGTAAGGAGTAGGTTTTTCATCCCGCTGCTGGTCTTGTCCCCGCCGCCGCACCAGCCCTAATTAATACACCGAGACTCTGTATTTGATATAATGCTGTTGGCCAGATACTAGTTTCTTATTGGCTAGCTCTGTCTTAAGTATTAACCCATTTCTGCTAATCTATGTATTTCCACGTGGTCTCTCTTAACCTCGGAGAGCCAGCTGGCGTCCAGCTCTCTCCTGACTCTCCATCTTGACTCCTCCTTACTACTTCCTCTTTCCTCCTTTCTCCTAGTCCCTCCTATCTTCCTTTCCTATTGGCCAACAGTGTTTTATTCATTAACCAGTATGAGAAACATATTTACAGAATGACATCTCCCATCAGGGTCTCATACAGCTCAGGTTGGCCTTGAACCTGTAGGTGACGATGACCTCCACCTCCTGGGAGTGTAAGCATATTCAACACCCAGTGAACAGTCACAGCTTCTCTCTTCTTTACTCAGTAGAGCTACTGAAGCCTTCTAGTTAGTCTTCACTTAAGTTATGCTTTTCAACTACATATTTAGTTATTACATGTATTTTTATTATTTTAAATAATGTGTATGCTTATATCTGTGTGTGGATATGTATGAGGTGTGCAGACACAGGCAAAACACCTATACACATAAATTATTTTTTCAAAAGGAAAATCTTTAAAAATTTGTTCTTTGAGTTGGGCAGTGGTAGTTTGAGCCTTTAATCCCAGCACTCCAGAGGCAGAGGCAGGCGGATCTCAGTGAGTTTGAGGCCAGTCTGGTCTACAAAGAGTTCCAGAATAGCCAAGATTACTCAGAAAAATCATCTCAAAAAAAAAAAAAAGTTCCTTTGTTCTTTAATAACTTCATATATAAATATTTCATATATTCTGTTCATACCACCCCCACCCCCTATCTCTTATCTGCAGCCCCTTTTAATTGTTACTGTTTTAAATTAATCTGTTATTTGTATATGTGTGTATACATATGGTGTGTATGTGTATACAACCTGAGTGAGGAAGTAAAGGACCACGTTCAGGAGTCACTTCTCTGCCCTGTGAGGCAGGGTTCTGTCATGTTATTATTGCTTATTCCAGTCAAGCTGGATTGCAAGCTTCCAGAAGATTCTGTCTGTGTCTTCCATCTTGCTGCAAGATTTTGTGTGTGTGTGTGTGCGCGTGCGCGCGCGTGCGCGCACGTGTATGTGCATGCATGCTTAATCTTAGCAGGGTGTGGACAGTTTTGGGTTACCTTTCTCTTCCATGGAGCCTCAGATGAGCTCAAGAGAGTGCTTAGGGCCTTCTCTTCAAAGTCTGTTGATGGTTTTCTAGATTCCCGGATGTGTTGAATTTACAAAGCCTCCATGCACACCCTCACTCCTCAGCTTTTCCTTTCTCAGTTTTAGGTCGCATTTGCTTGCCCCAGTGTTATTCACTGTGTAAGGAAGCCATGAAGGTAAACGACAGCCTCTAGATTTTTTTGACAAATGCCCCAGAAAAGGTGTCTGCAGTTGGTGAGCTCCCAACCGGGTCAGTAAAGACACCGTGCAAGTGCAGCCTTCCTGGGACTGAGAGGCAGGGCAGGTAATGGCAGTGCCCTGGGCTAAGGCTGTGGATGTGCCTGCCCTGTTCTGTGTTCTCCATGGAGGCTCCTGGTTTGCACTGTATGTTTAACAGTCTCATGTTTGTGTGTTGTTACCCTAGAATATATGTGCACGCACACACACACACACACACACACACACACACACAGAGAGAGAGAGAGAGAGAGAGAGAGAGAGAGAGAGAGAGAGAGAGAGAGTTACTCTAGAACAGTCTGGAAAGACAACCAAACCAATAACATGAATCAACAGAGAAGGAGGGCACTCCAACTATCTGTTATAAGTGGTCATTTGTTTCATAATTTTAAGATTCATACTTATTAAACAACCTATCATATAAGCTGGGCATAGTAGTACATGTAAAAACTAGCAAAATTTGCCAGAATAATACATTTTGAAACCTCAGATAATGTCTAAAGATCTTTAAAGATATGGGGAACATTTACTCAAGAAAACCAGCTCAGAAACCAAGCGGTGGTAGCACACACCTTTAATCCTAGCACTCAGGAGGCAGAGGAGGGTATCTCTGTGAGTTTGAGGCCAGCCTAGTCTACTGCATGAATTCCAGGGTAGCCTCCAAAGCTATAGAGAAACCCTACTTCGAAAAACCAAGATAGATAAATAGGCAGGCAGGCGGGCAGATAAAATAAAAAATAAAAGATAACCAGCTCAGGAAGTGGAGAGAAGGCTTGGTGTTTAAGAGCACTGGTTGCTCTTACAAAGACCTCATGTTCCATTCCCACAATAAACATGGGTGCTTATAACTGTTATTCCAGTTCCAGGGTTCTGACACCCCCTTTCTCATTTCTGTGGCATCAGGCATAGAGTATATGCACACATGCAAGCAAAACTCTCGTACATAAAATAAAAATCCATCTAAAAAAGAAAGAAAATCAGCTAAATCTAAATAAATAAGAACAGGGAGCTTGACACTTTTTAAATCTCATTGTGTACCCTGTGGAACTCTCTATTTAGACCAGGCTAGCCTTGAACTCACAGAAATCTGCTTACCTCTGCATCTCAGATACTAGGATTAAAGGCATGCAACACCACGTCCAGTTTCTATTTGACATTTTAAATGTCCTATTCTCATCCCTCTGTCTATCATAAAACACCATGACCACAACTGATATAGGAAGAAATGGGGTTATTTCATCTTATACTTCAGGTCTATCACTGAGGGAAATCAGGGCAAGAACTCAAGTAGGGAATGATCCAGAAGGCATGAACTGAAGCAGAAGCCATTGAGGAGTGTTGCTTATTGGCTTGCTAACCATGATTTGCTCAACCTGCTTATAAAACCCAGGACCACCCATCCAGAGGTGACACTTTGTGTGGGATAACACTGCCTCCTATGGAACTGGCCTTCCCACATCAGTCATTAATCAAGAAAATGTTGCACAGGCTTAGTCACAGGTTAATCTGGTAGGAACATGTTACGAGTAGTTTTCCTGTCAGCCCCAAAATAACACACAGAGACATTGTATTAGATATAAAGCTGTTGGCCTGTTACTAGCATTTCTTATTGACTAGCTCTGTCTTATTAACTCAATTCTATCAATGTAAGTATTTCCACGTCGTCTTATCTTACCGGAGACAGGGTCTGGACCTCTTAAGTCTCTACATCTTGAATCTCTATCTCTACTACCTCTCCCAAAGTCCTCCTTGTCTCCTAGTCCTGCCTATCTTGCCTTCCTATTGGCCAACAGGGCTTTATTCTTTAACCATTAAGAGAAACATATATACAGAATGACATCTCCCATCATCTCCTCTTTCCTGTCTAAATAAAAAGAAGGGTTTTAACTTTAATGTAGTAAAATATATAACAAAACAGTTATCAAATAAGAACTATTGTTAACAATACGCATACAATCAAGCAGTGGTGCCTCGTCCCATGTCTTGTGTTGTCGGAGCATGCAGACATGCTGACAAGACACAGAAGGATTGTGTTATTTGTACGACTTCTGCCCAGTGCTCCCTCCACATTAAAGTGATCTTTGGGGATTTTGTGTTGCATGTTTTTTTTTTTCTCAGAATGTGTTTGGATAAATGTGTGCACATGTAAGTAAACCTTTAAAGCAAACATGACATCACATTATAGGTGTTCTGCCAATTGAATGAATATTCTGCCAGGTCAAGGCTGCTGCTCATCTTAGATTATGCTGTTTTGTGAGTTTTATTTGTAGTCACAGACAAAATGTTTGATACTATCATATTGGTGTTTTAGTCCATCCATCTTTTGAAGTGGCTGCCTTCGTACACTCATTCATTGTATTCGGGTCCTGCCAAGTGAATAGCTCTCTTTCCTCCTGCAGTAAACATCCTAATACCTGCAGCAAATGCTGTGTCCTATCCCTGGTGCCTCTTTGCTCTGTGTAGTTATTTTAGATTAGAGTTGCTAATTTAGGGATGTATGCATTTTAAATTTTGGTGGTTACAATAAAGGGTTGTGCCAAGTTGTCCTTCATCTGGCAATGTAAGATTGCATGTTCAGTGTCCTTCTCCTTGCTGTTAGCAGCTTAGAGACTCGCTGTTCTCACCACCAATCCTTCACATGCCTGCTGCTTTCTTCCTGCTCACAGGAGGGCTGAGCTGGAAGTGATTGAGACTGAGGGGTAGCTGGAATTTCTTAGGGTGAGGGGTTAATTGAGCTCCTTCCTACTCAGGGATGTACCCCTGAGACCTTTCCCAGGTCAAGGCTGCTGCTTGTCTTAGATTATGCTGTTTTGTGAGTTTTATTTGTAGTCACAGACAAAATGTTTGATACTATCATATTGGTGTTTTACCAGGTAGCAACTGGAAAGTGGAAGAAAATAAGTAAATACTGTCCCCTTGACCTCTACTCAGGGTAAGAGCCACTTCTCATTTGTTGCCTTGGTTGGGTGGTGCCTGCTAAGGGATAGCCTGCGGGGTAGCAGTTTGGAGGGTTATTTTGTGAGGTGTTGATGGTATGTATGTGAGCAAGGAGGTAGGGATTAGAGGTGTGTTCTATGAAGTGGACTTGGCATCTTCTATGAGGGAGGACCTGGGGGCCATGAGGTGAGGTGAGGAGGATGGGTATTTTGTATTGTGGAGAGACTAGGGTGTATTCTGTAAGGTGGATGTGAGTATTATCTGAAGTGGGATATGTTCTGTGAGGTGGGAGTGTTCGTGAGGTCTGAAATATCTAAGAAGTTCTGTGAACTTGTAAACGTATGGGGTTCGGGGAGGTGGGGAATGGGAAGTATTCTGTGAGGTGGAGATGGGGCCCTTGCTCTGTCTGAAGGGCTTTTTGCCCATTCTAGAAAACAAAATGTTGCTGTTTTTGCTGTGGGAATGTCAGGTTGTCAGTGCATTAAGGGAGGATCACGATTGATTTGCCTGTGCACCCAAGGGAGCATGTTATGAAGAAAACAATAATATGGGGGGCAGGCTCTATTGAGAATTCATAACTTGTCAACCCTGAGTCAGGAGCTGTCCTTGGAATGCTCATAGTGCAGGCTTTCCAGAGCTGTCTGTGGTGCCAGTGCTGACTTGTCTGTCCTTGGCACATGGTCTGCACTCCTTGTTTGGGGTGGGTTTGCCTCCCTGGGAGCCCTGTAGATTCCATGTGGGGGTAAGAAAGGGGCTATGTTCAGGGATACTGGTGGAGATACCTGGGTAAGGTAAGGCCTGGAACATGGGTGGCAATGAGGAAGAGACTACAGGTGCCAGTTGCTTATGAGTAGGGCAGAGGGCAGGAGGGGCCCAGTCCCACAGCTCCCCAAGGTGGAGGGAGGGTGAAAGGTTCCACATTCCTGCTGTCTTAAGCTTCCTGCCCTTCCCAGGGTCTGTCACAGCATCTGATGATGACTAAGTGCCCCGAGTGCTTGCTTCAGCCTCTGGAAGCTGCAGCTGAGGAGCAAGAAGGATGAGACGGAGCTAGATGGGCTCTGGGTGACTGGTGTGCCTTGGCCTTCTGTTCCCCCTATATCTGCAGGACTCCTCATGGCTGCCTCTGGGCCATAGACCCAGCTCCCCTGATGTGCTTAGGGCTACAGTTACTGGATGAAGGTAGCTCTAGGTCCCAGCAGTCTGGAGCTGTGTGTATGGATATGTGTGGAGACAAGCCCGGCCCACTGCCTTCAAATCCTTTCTGCTTTGTCCTTCCAGAAACAAGCAGCGCATGCACTTTGCCTTGAAGAGTCTGCTGCAGGAGGCGCAGAACAATCTGAGGATATTTAAGGTGAGAGCTCTCCATTCCATGGTGGCTCCCTGGCCACAGGTTCTGTGAGCAAATACATTGGGGTGTGCAGGCTGGTTTGCCTCAGACCAGCTCTCTGTGCCTTGTCATTCCAGGAGGAGGGGACAAGGCAGGGTTAGCCTTGGCAGGAAGTGGCGGCTGTGGTCATGCTGGGAATGTATCTCTAGAGTCCCCTTTGCTATTGTCCTAGTGGGCAGCAAGCTGGACTTGAGGTAGCATGTGGATTGGATGAAGGAGCAGGACTGAGAATGGGCTTCTCAAAGCCTGTGTGTTGCTTGGTCTAGGAAAATGACTGCTGAGCTAGAGGTGCTGTCCTGTCTTGCTGCTGTATGGCTGGTGGCTTCATGAAGAGGGTGGGATGAGGGCTGGTGTTCACCAGATCTAACAGAAGAATTTCCTTGACCTGGAGGCTGGTCAGAATAATCAGCATCCTTTCTTGGTCGTGTCCATACCCCAGATCCAGAAAAAAAAAAAAAAAAAAAAAAGGAAGACAGCTTTGTATGGAGATAGGACAGCCTTGGGGTCAGTTCTCTTTCCACAGTGGGTTCTGGGGATCGAATTAAGGCTGCCACTGAGTGACCTCTTTCCCCTAATTTTTTCACTCTGTTTAAGAGATTGGGAGGGCTGGAGAGATGGCTCAGAGGTTAAGAGAGCACTGACTGCTCTTCCAGAGGTCCTGGTTCAATTCCCAGCAACCATAGGGTGGCTCACAGCCATCTGTAATGAGATCTGGTGTCCTCTTCTAGTGTGCAGGCATACATGCAGACAGAACACTGTATACATAATAAATAAATCCATCTTGAGAGAGAATGGGGGGTGGAAATTAGGAGCCATGCATGGTGGCACAGGCCTTTAATACCAGCCCTCAGGAGGCAGAGGCAGGAAGATCTCTGAGTTTGGGGCCAGCTTGATCTACAAAGCTAGTTCCAGGGCAACACAGAGAAACCCTGTCTGGAAAAACCACAAGAGATTAGAAACCTGGCATTTAAATCCTGGAGATAAATCCCTTTAACTTTGGAGCCCATTTCTGAATCTGTCAGACCTTATTTAGGTATCTGGTCTGCTGCTTCTGTAAAAATCAGCGTGGAAGAAGCTAGAGATTAGCCAGCACTAGAGATGGCTTAAGGAAAGTGATCTGTGATGGCTTTTAAAATATTTTAAAAACTTTTTTGTTTTGTTTTGTTTTTTTTCTGGACAGGGTTTCTCTGTGTAGTCCTTGCTGTCCTGGAACTCCCTCTGTAGATCAGGCTGGCCTTGAACTCACAGAGATCCATCCACCTGCCTCTGTCTCCCAAGTACTGGGATTAAAAGTGCGTCACCGATGCCTTGCTTAAAATGAAAAATGAAAAAAAAAAATCTCTTTTACTTTGTGTGTGTGTGGAGGTCACAGGACAACTGACAGTCCTATCTTTCCATCATGTGGTCCTTGGCTTGATGGCAAGCACCCTCACGCACTGAGTCATCTTGTTGGCTTGGTAATGCTTTGTAAAGTGGCAGATAGCAGGCAGTGAGTTCAGTGGTGAGCACTGGCAGCTCTCGGTCTCACTGGTTCTGATGCTGTACTTGTACATTCGCTGCTCACTCACATTCTGCAAACAAGCAAAGCAGAAAATTCCCAAAGCTCTGATGGTGTGGTCAGTGATCCCATATTGGGTACTTGTGGCAAGAGACAGTGTTGGGTTCAAGGAGCGTGGACTTTTTTTTATAGAGTTATTACCTAGGTTGTGGCTCTGCTAGATGCCCCAGGAGATCCTTGAAGGGTCACATTTGTATGTGCAAACTCTATCTCTGGGTTTCACATTTACAATGTCCCTCAAGTCTAGACCCTTAATGCTGGGGTGAGGCCTTGCTACGAGGACTCCCTTGGCCACTTTTGGGCCTGGAGGAGGGGCCATCTTCACCATGGGCATGAATGGTTCTACTCTGGATGTCAGTTGACTAACTCGGCTCCACTGTGTTCACCCTCTTCCGCCTGACTCGCATGGTGAGCAATGCCTTAGTTTGTCCCTTCGATGGCACCTACACAGGAACCTCTAGAGAGGACCCCCAGGATCCACTGAGGAGAAACTACCCATACCTCTCAAGGACAGAGACTGTTCTCTTGGCTGTTATTGCTCTCCTGAGACCTTAGCTTCACACTCCCACACATTGTTAGTGTCTTAGAGGGTCAGCTTAGCTGCTGCTTTCTGAAGGCGTTTCCACTCTGGGGAAACTGATGTCTTTGGTAAAGAGCCTTACAGGTGCTGTGTTATGTCTGCTCGGACTGCATGTGGACAAGTTGCCAATGGTAAGGGTCTGGAGGGAGCTCTGAGGGTCCACCATGTGGTTTAAATATGAAGGCATATAGTTCAGAGAGTTGTGAGATGCTCCTGGTGTCCACAGCTCAGGCTCTTAATCACAACCCCATTGTTAGCAGTGGGCAGCATGTGTCCTTGCTTGAGCGCTGGGAATGACTAAGTCTGGATGCTGTGTTGTAAGGAGCATCTTTTTGGGGTTCTATGAAGAAGGTCAACAGTGTTAAGACAGGAATGGTTCCCTGTCAGTGATCTGGTCACTTCTCTTACCACAGGACTCGGCTCTGAGGCTTCCACACACTCTGGGGTCTGTAGGACTGCTTGGGCCTTCAAGAAACTGGTGATTTGTGGACGCCTGTGGCTTTATGCTCAGTATTTGCTGCAGACATACATGCTATGCGATCGCTGTCTGAGGGGTCAGTCCAGGGTGCTGGCCTGAAGCTTTGGAACCTTTCTTCTTTTGACTCATGCTTAGTGACCCAGCACAGAGAGTAGGGTTCTTCAGAGGAGCCTGTGTGCAGCAGTCCTGATTAGGCCTGCCCCTGCTTCTGTTTTTTGTCAGCTTGTGTGATCCATCTCCCTTTCTTCTTTTCCTGCCTAAAGAATGGCGAGCTGATCTACGGTTGCGGTGATGCCCTGAGCCCTGTGGCTGACTTGAAAGAGCTTGCGCACCACCTGAAGCCCTTCTTCTTCCCTTCCAATGGCCTGGCCAGTGGGCCTCACTGCACGAGGGCTGTGATCCGGGAGCTGGTGCATGTTATCACCAGGGTGCTGCTGAGCAGCTCAGACAAAGGCCGAGCAGGTGCCCTGAGGCTTGGGCTCCAGGGCCCACGGGTCTGTGAAGCCAGCCCATTCAGCAGGAACCTACATCACCAAGGTAGGGCCTGGCCTTCCCCAGGTGCATTGAGACTATCCCTCCCCATAAGTAGTCAGGGTGGCACCTACAAAGTGACCTTTGTATCCCTGCCTGGCTTCCTGACACCTCTGGGGTTGCTGTCTAGTTCTGTCATGGTTCTACAGAATGAGGCTTAGCTAACTCAGGGTTGACACTTACTTTTCACCTTGAGCTGGGCTTATAAGCTGCTTGACATTCTTGGACTATGTGGTTTCTAGAAATACTGCTTGTCTGTTGTGTGTTCTCTGCAGTGAGTCATTGCTTTCAAATGTACTTTTCCCTTTTGATCATCATCTTGACTTTGGATGACTTCTGTTTGTAAGACAAGAACTGAGACCAGGAGCCCTTTGTTGTGGAGCTAAGCGCTGTGGAGTGAGGACAGGTTTACAGGGTCCCTGGCTCCAGGTTGCCATCCTGGTAAATAGTAGTGGGGGTGGATCAGCCATGTCATGGCAGTGTTGTGATGCCCCATGAGTCAGGTCAGGTGGGACAGTGGCCTGTGTCCTTCAGGAATTCCACAGGCCTAGACTTATTGTCGCTGCCCCGTGCTTTTTTTTTTTTTTTTTTTTTTTTTTTTTTGAATCAGGGTTTCTCGTGTAATAGCCTTAGCTGCCCTAGAACTCTCTCTGTAGACCATGCTGGCCTCGAACTCACAGAGATCCGTCTCTGCCTCTGCCCCCCAAGTACTGGTATTAATGCCAACAATTTTTTAAATGATTTTTTTTTCAAAACTACAAGTGAATGTTTTGGGATTTGTTTTTGTTATGAAAGTGGTTCCTTATTGTTGAAACTAAACCTATAATCTGGGTGCATCACTGTGGAATGTTTTTGGAAGGACACAGATCAGATAGCTGCTGGCTGGCACTCAGGTGATCTGGGGACACCTGAAGCTTCACTAACAGACCTTCCTGACACTGAGGTGCAAACAGGCCTAACTCATCGGTGAGCAATTTAAAACAATGAAGTCATACTCAAGTTTTCTTGTAATCCAGTGTTTTTCTTAAATAGCATAAATCTATCGGCACATGTAGGTTTTTATCTTTTAGCTGCCATGCCTGGGCTAGGCATTCACTGTATGGGTATCCTGCTATCTTGATACAGGGCATCTGTTGTGTAGCAGAGGGCATCTTGGTGGAGACCTGAATAGACATTGTTCCCTCCCGTCTTTGCCTTTAGTCAGTTCTTTTCTGAAACAGTGATGTCAGGCCCCAGCTGAGATGACACTGTACATATCATTGTGAGAGAGCCCAAGTGAAGGATGGAAGGAACTTTCTTTTCTCATTTGTCCCAGTGAGGACAGGACCTTGCCAGTGGCCTTAACCACTGTCCATCACTCTGCATGTGTAGTTTGTATTGTGATAGCCAGACCTGGTCCTTCTTGATGTGGGCTTAATGATTTTGACTCTGGAAACCGGTCCCAGTTGGTCTCGAAGGTTCAAGGATGTTGGTATGATTGATCTTTTGCAGTTCTGGGCCTTATTTCATGTGAATGATTATCTTTAGGCTTACATATAAAGTGACTTCTAGAGCAGGGGATGGAGTTAAAGGATATTCTGGGGAGGTGTTTGGACAGCACAGGCCCAAAGGGAGGCACAGTCTCTATCATTTTTGTGCATAGAGCCACTGGGCACTTAGGGTGGTCTGTGCTGTCAACCTTGTAACTTTATGAGGTGTGTAGCATCTGCCTGTAGTGCTGGGCTGAGGCCAGGTGGGTAAGCTCAGGGGGAGCTCTGCTATCTGTGCGGCCTGTGTCTCCCTCCACAGTCTTAAGGTTTGATAATGAACTGCTCTCGTTCTCCCCTGATGTTCTTGGTAGGAAAAAACACCCCAGAGCACTCGGGGTTACCGAAGGGCTGTCTTCTGTACAAAACCCTCCAGGTGCAGATGTTGGACCAGCTGGACATTGAAGGCCTCTACCCTCTATACAACCGGGTTGAGCGCTACCTGGAGGAGTTTCCTGAGGAGAGGTGAGGCTGGCACCAGAGGAAGCCATGAGGCTTGGCTGGTGAAGGTTGCCTGAACTCTAGAACAGAATGAACCTCCCAGAGCCTGATTCCAGGAGGTCCTTACAACCAACTCTCTGCCTAGGAAGTTGTGTGTGTGTGTGTGTGTGTGTGTGTGTGTGTGTGTGTGAGTGTGAGTGTGATGTGTGTGTGGCAGGGGTGGGGTGGAGTGCCAGGGTCCATAGGAGATTGTTGGTCTCTCACTAAGACACTTGTAGAAATTAAGCATATATGAATGTGATCATTCAAAAAAATCCTGTGTCAGGATCTGGCCTGCAGAGGGCAGTGTTATCCCACAGGTTGCTCTTAGAACCCTGGCTTGGCAGTGCCTGAGCTTTTCTGACTACCACATTTAGGGCCCTGGCCTGCATTGTGTGTCCCCAGGTCCACACCTGTAGTGTCTGATAGACAGGATGGTCTTTGTATCTCATTGGCTTTTGCCTAAGGGTGTGTATGTGGACTAAGCCTCCACCTCCCTGAGCCCTGGGGGTTGTTGAAGGTCTTGATGGTAGAATCAGGCTTAATGAGAGAACACAGTAGATCTCTTAGCTGGCTTTTGACAGGAAGCATGTGCTCACTAGACTGTGCTGTGTGATACAGAGTGATTAGTGAGTAAAAGTCTCCAGGACCTCTTCACCCTGTTTATTTGGTCTTGGTGGTTTTTTTTAATCCCCCCCCCCCCAGGAAAACATTACAGATAGATGGGCCTTATGATGAAGTATTCTACCAGAAGCTGCTTGATTTGTCTACCGAGGATGATGGGACAGTGGCCTTTGCATTAAGGAAGGTGAGTAGACCATTGAGAAGCACTGTGTATTCCTGAGGTCTCAGCCCTCAGGGTTTTCCTACCCCTCCCTTCCCCGGCAGCCACAGCCCAGACTTCAGAGATTTGAAGCAGAGAGGCTGCAGCGTTTTTCCGATGGGCTGGGGCAGCAGATGGAAATGCAGGGTCTGAGGGATTTTTCTTGGCTCTGCCTTCCCTGACTGTCACAGACCAGAGGCAGGCCCTAGTGCTTGGTGGTCCTGGGCCACACCCTTGGGATCCTGATGACTGTCTTCCCTGGTAAAGAGCTAATGCTGTATCTGTCTGAGGCTTGAGAGAGTCTTACAGAACTGAGGCCACAGAGGTTGAGGTGCAGGGTAGAGTTTCCTTAGGCTGGGGGAACTCCACAGCAGAAGCAGCATGAGCAGCTGTGAGTACCTGGAGGGAGGAAGAAACAGCAGAGTGCCCTCCCCATTCTAGAGGAGACCTCTGAATGAGCGTAGATTACTTTTAAACTTTCTTAATTCTCAGGTAAGTGTAGTCTTACAGCCATCACACAGCTTCCTAGAACTGGCTGAAAGAAATCCATTGGGAACATACATAGTGCTTGTGCCTAGGTACTGACCCTGAGGTGGGCTGCTGATAGTCTACTTTTCATGTCAGATGTTCTCATTACATGCCCTCATGGATACTTACCCAAAGGAATGAGGGCTCACCTTACACTGTACAAAAGAACTGTAGCAGCCGGTGTTTGCAGTACATGACTCTACTAGGTTGGAAAATATTGGTGTGGCTACATTTGCAGCTCCACTGCATTTGGTGCATGGATGGACCAGGGGAACGCTTCATGAAGTTCAGAGTCCCTGTGGTGGGGGCTGCAGAGTCCACAGGTGTGTGTGGACTTGGAGAATCTGATAGGTTATATCAAGGCCATGCTCACTTCTCATCATTTTGCTGTAGCTTTCAAGATATTACTGTTGATGGAAACTGGGCAGAGAGCTTGAGGGCTCAGGGTTAGAACATGGAGCTGTGTGCTTGCAATCATCTTTCTCTCTTCATTAAATAATGTTTTAAAAATGTATTTGGTGGATGGGTGTGTGCCATGGTAAGAGTGCAGAGGTCATGTTCAGCTCTATTTTTGTTAATACCATGATGGTTCTTGGGGTTGAACTCAGGTTGTCAGGTTTTGCAGCAAGTGCTTTTTACCCCGAGATGTCCCATCAGCCCTCTTTTTCTGTTTTTGAGTCAGTGTTTCACTGTGTAGCCGGGGTACTGCTAGCTAGGCCTCAGTCCTCTGAGTATACCACATGCAACTGCTCCATTTCTCTTTTAGGGATGGATATAGGTTCAGGTAGTTGAAACTGGAGACGGTGCAAATAAAGCTGAAACTGAGGAGTAGTGAGCCGAAGGTAACCTAGTGCAAAAGCTCTTCTGCTTTATTAGCCCTGCTCTTGTAGCTCAGGAATATCCATCAACAGGGTACAAATGAGAGGGAGTATGTTGTGTCTTGGGAAAAATTATCCCAGAAACAGGGGAAAGGGTGAGGTGAGGCTTCCCATCAGTGTGCTGACTTGTATGTTCCATTATTTAGTAGCTTTAGCCTTTCTTCGCTCCACTGGTTTGGAAGCTAGCATCTGTATTCTTTCCATGATGGTGGGTCCAATTCACCATCCCTATTTAAAGTGTAAAGCTACTCGATTGTTTGTGGCTCCACATGATACAGGACTGGGGGTACTTTAATTAGTTGTTTTTCCCAGTGTGTGTGCACTTACCATTTGGTATTGTTTATTTTAGGTTTTCTTTTGGGGGGGGTGGCGGTGGCCAGCATGCTAAGGCAAGCACTCAACCAGTTAGCTATAGCTATTTTTCATAGCCCCAGTTTAGTATTTAGACACGTTTGTCTAGATTTATTCTTATGTGGGAGCCTTAACATTGCCTGACTTTCTCATCACTCAGATCAGTCCCCTTTGTCCCTTTTTTCTTTAGCAACAATTTCATGCCATGTCCTTCACTCACAATCATATCACTTTAAAAAAAATGCCCCTTGTGTATCATTATCTCTGCCCCTGCAGTCCTGAGCAGCTTCAGTGTTTCCGTAAGTATGGCATATAAACAGGGCAGTCAGTGTGTGAGCCTTTGTGTCCAGCTTTGACTTAACAACTTTCAGACTTCACTACCTCATCCTCTTTCATGGCTCGAGTTCCACTAAAGTGCACGTATTATATAATATAGACACCTGCCCATCAGTTGACTGACATTTCCGTTGTTTCCTCTTTTCAGTGCTCTAATCTGTGCTGTTGTAAATCTTTGTGTACAAGCTTTTATTCTACCATACATTTTTTCCCCCCTGTGGTATGGAAGTGGAGTTGCTTGGTCCAAATGGTAACACCTTGTGTGTTGTCTGGGCTAGCTTCAAACTTGAATCTTCCTGTCTCCATCTCTTGAGTGGCTGAGATTACAGGTATGCACCATACACCTAGCCTCCTACTTAGTCTTTTCTGGGGGGGGGGGGGTGAAGTGGGTGAGTGGTGTGAAGAGGGGTTGAGTTTGGTATTCTTGTTATCTGTAAGCCAACATGTGTTAAAGTCAGTCTCAACAAGGTGTGGTTGTTTTGGAGGAGAGTCCTTGAAAGTTCTCCAGCCTCTGGGTAGTGGTTTTAGTTTGTTACTGTTAAAAGTGATGTTGGGCCATGGATGCAGGAGCTATGCTGTGTAGATGTATCCACTGGGGCTGGGGTTCCCAAGTCTGTTGACTTCTGTGTAGTTGTGGTTTTCTGTGCTGGTCTCCACTTGTGTAAAGAAAGTCTTCTTTGATGAGAGTGGGTAGCTATAGTTGTCAGTGGGTACAAGGATAAGATTTAGAATGTAGTAAGGAATTGTACTAGACTAGCAAGTGGCAGTAGTAGGTTCTAGGTCCCCTGGGAAGCTGGCAGTAAGATTGTAAGAGCCAGAGTATGAGGAAGTCTCCTGTGAAACAGTGTCTCCTAGAAATGGTTGCACAAAAAACACTGCAGTACATTGAAGTGGGAGGGGAAGGAAGATTCAGTGTCCACTCCTGGACAAAGGCAACTAACGACTGCTGGGAGAAGAATTAGACCTGTATAGGTTGTGCTGTTAACCCAGAGTGGTCAGCTCTTATATCACATACATTCACACAAACAATTGAAAATGGACTCGGAAGGTTGTATTTATGTATATTTGTGCATACACATGCATGTGAAAATAATCAACAAAAAAGAGGCTATCATCATGAGAGTGGGGCTTGGGAGAGGTTTGAGGGAGGGAAGGGAAAAGCGATTTAATTCTATTTTAATTAAACTTTTTTTTTTTTTTTTAAAAAAATGAAGAAAATTGTTGATACTGATAGTTTTCACTATTCCTGCACATAAGCACCTTAGTAAAGTAAGATGTCTAAATTTTTGAGGTTTTATTTTTATCAACTTTTTGGATTATGAAAAACATAACACTCAAGAGTAAAAAAGTGTATAGCCCAATGAATCCAACCAGAGCCTGTTGGAATTGCTTCTCAGTCTGTGGCTGAGATCTAGGATGCAGTCTCTCTGGCTGGTGTCTGCCTCCTTCCTGGTCTTACTGCACTCCTGGAGTGCTCTGTTCTCCTTTTGCGCTTCTCATATGGAGTCATGCTGTGCATGTTCTCATGTGCCTCGTGTCTTCTCTAGCAATGTTAAGCAGTGCCTTCGCTGCACTTGTTTTCAGGGCTTTGTATTGAGCTATGAATGGGTGGACGTAGGATTTCCTAGTTTACTCTGTGAGGCTATACTTTTAGGTGCCTCAGCATTACAATTAAATGCTTTTCAGTTGTCATTTATCATTTCAAGTGGCTTTTTATCTTTGGCTATGCTTCTTACCTTCAAATTTTCTTTTTCTGTCATAGTAGAACTTCTCTAGATTCTTTTATTTTCGGTCTTTTCAGACAGGGTTTCTCTGTGTAGCCCTGGAACTCACTCTGTAGACCAGATTGGCCTTGAACTCACAGAGATCCGCCTGCCTCTGCCTCTGCCTCCCAAGTGCCAGGATTAAAGGTGTGCGCCCCCACTGCCCAGCGCTTCTAGATCCTTGTGTGACCTATTTGTATTGCCTTTTCCATCTTTTTGTGTATCCTTTTTTTGTATATCTTTGAATAGACATAAAATGGTTCTAAAAATATTAATTTTATGAACATGCACAGCATCCATGCATGTGTGGGTACCTAGAGGCCGATGGGTATCAGACCTCTGTAGCTGGGTTATAGTTGGTTGTGAGGTGCCTTATGTGGGTGCTGAGAAGCAAACTTGGATCCTTTGCAAGAGTAGTGTTCTTAACCACTGAGCCATCTTCCAGCCTGTGTAATTGGTTCTTAAAAACAAATATTCTGGGTGTTAGATGTATTAACAAACATTGGTAAATGTAAGAGCTGGAGAGATGTGTCATTGGTGAAGAGCCCTTGCTTTCCCTTGGAGAAGACCTAAGGTTCAATTCCCAGCATCTACTTCAGGAAGGATAGATGCTCACAACAACCTGTATGTAATTCTAGCTCCTGTGGATCTATCTGTTGCTTTCTTTTTTGTCTCTGAGATCACTTGCACATGTGTGCATACACTCATATAGCTGCTACACACACACACACACACACACACACACACACACACACACACACACAATTTATAAAAGAAAAATCTATCATGACACTATTTCTGTTAGTTAGGCCCAGGCTGGCCTCGTCATCTTGTCTTAGCCTCCCTAGTGCTGGGACTATAGGTCTAATCACCACACCCTAAAACATCTTTTATTGTTTCCGTTAGTACAGGCTTGCTTGGCAGTGCATCTTAGTTTTGTTTAATGGCATAATGATATTATTTTCTGGAGCCCTTGTATCTCTAGGGCTTGATGCTGTTATCTAGGGAAACCTGGCCCCACTTCTTACCCACCTGCTCAAGGCAGGTGTATGTACCCTGGCTCTTTAAAAGAAAAAGACTACCCACTCCACCCCCTCCCCTTTCCTCTAGAGGAGACAGGACTTTTCCTGTCCGTGCCCGCCCCCGTGTGTACGTGTGTGTGTGTCTGTCTTTATCTTTTTTTTTTTTTTCTTTCCTCCCTTATTTTCTTATCTCCCCCCAATAAAACCTTCAGTATAAGTCACATCTACAGGTCTCTGTTTCCCATCTGTGGTCTCAACCCATTAAGCTTTATTCCTAACACTTGATGTCTTCAGTTTAGGGAAAGCTTTGGCCATCACTTTGATAGCTTGCTCGTCTTTCCTTTCCATGCTACATTTTGGGCGTTTTCTCTGAACCTTCTTGTTTAGCAATTGTCAGTGGCGTTTCCTTTTCCTCTCCATTTCTTCTCTTCTTTGGTCTGAGCCCCTAAGTTGTTAACTTTCTTTGTTCAGTTCATATCTTTGTGGGTACTTAGTGTTACACTTCTCAGAAAACAAAATGTGGGGATTATTGCTGCCCTTGAATACAATGGAGGGTACTTCAGACCCCTGGTCACTGGCTCCTAGCTTACTAAGAGGCTGGTGTGGTCAGTTTTTCTGCCCTTGTAGTTATTCCGCCCTGTTCAGTTTCACATCTCTTTAGTTAATTTGATGACTGCTTAATGTTGTTTTTGTAAAATATTTAAACGGCTTATTTTATGGTTTCCAGTTCTCCTCAGAAGTTCTGTTTGGTCTGATTCTTCCAGTGGAGCAGCATGTGTGTGGGACCTCAACAGCTGGAGTCCCTTTGTGGATGTGCGTGTCCACTACTGTGGAGTTGTTTTTCAGTTTTAGCTGAAACAGTATTTTTTAAGAGCAGAAGTGAAGGGGGGTACAGGTTCTCGCACCCCTTCTGTGCTTTGTGCTGGCTTTTATTCTTGTCGTCCCGTCTTGTCCCTGCATGTTTTCACTTGTGTGTCAGAATTTGTATTGGTGCAATTATTTTAGAAATGACTTGCTGCCTAGCATTGTCTGTTCTCAGGGAGAATTTTAGGTTTCTCTCTGCCAAGAGGCCTGGCAGGCTGATGTCAGTTTGACACAGCTTTGGGACTGTTCCTCTTGAAGTACAGCTGCAGTTCCTGTATGGCCTGCCAGCTTAGGCTCAGGGTCAATCTGAAGGGAGCGGCAGTTTGCATACTAAGAGAAGCTTCATGTGGTTCCTGCCCTGTCAGCATTGAAGGCTGACCATTTTTTTGGGAAACGCCCAAATGCCTGCTGTCCCTGTCTTGTTAGCAGTGCCTCCAAGCAAGAATTTCTGATAAGTCATCAAGCTTTTCCAGTTGGCTGTTGCCACTGAATTAGCTCATTAACCCATTTGAACCACTCTCTAAGTGAACATCTCACTTCTTGGTTGTGTGTCTGAGATAACACACATCCTTCCTCTGCACTGAAGACCATTGTTACAATTTGTAACAATACCTTTTCATATATAGGGCATATATGTTGTATATGGAAATGTTTAATATTTATATGTCAGGGCTGGAGAGATGGCTCAGCAGTTAAAGAGCACTGGCTGCTCTTGCAGAGGACCCTGGTTCAACTCCCAGCACCCACCTGGTGGCTCACAACCATCTGTTACTTCACATCCAGGGAATCCGTCACTCTTTTGGCCTCCTCAGGCACTGTACAATATGTGCACAAAGCACCCCATACATAATAATAAAATGTCTATGAAGTCCAGCCTGGCCTCAGATTCACTGTTGTTGCAGAGGGTGATTTGGACACCTGATCCTCCTGACTCTTTCCAAGTGCTGGGATTGCTGGTGTACACTATCACAGCTGGCTAGGACTTACACATTCTCCATGTTGATAGTCAGATTGGCCATATTTTCTTGTAGGTTCTCACTTGTCATCTTTAACTTTTGGATTAGGATTGTACCACATAAAGTTCTTGATAGTTGTTTAGGTTTTTAAAACTGTCTCGAATGGCTTTTTTTTTTTTTTTGTACCTTGGTTAGACTAGCTGTGCCTTCAGGGGATTTTATATTTAGCTCTTCCTTTTTGTCCTACTTAGGGTTTCTACTGCTGCAAAGAAACACCATGACTAAAAAGCAAGTTGGAGAGGAAAGGGTTGATTTGGCTTACACTTAAACAGTTATCACTGAAGGAAGTCAGGTCAGGATCTCAAACAGGGTAGGATCCTGGAGGTAGGAGCTGATGTAGAGGCCATGGAGGGATGCTGTTTATTGGCTTGCTCAGTTCACCTTCTTATAGAACCCAGGACCAGCATCCCAGGGATGGCCCCAACAACCCTGAGCCGGTCTCTCCTCCATTGATTGCTAAACGAGGAAATGCCTTAGAGCTAGATCTCACAAAGGCATTTCCTCAGCTTAGGTTCCTTCCTCTGATGACTCCATAGCTTGTCAAGTTGTCACACAAAACTACCCAGTATACTTTTTGACTGGCCTTCTGGTTATGTATCACAAAATAAGAAATTTTGCTAATTGGAGGGCCTGTGGATGGGAGTTGGGTGTCTCCTGCCTCCAGGTTCTTCAGGCCCAGAACAGCCAACAGGCCTGGTGTGTGGTCTGCTGTTCCTTCCTCACCTCCCTGCCTCCAGGGTGTGCAACCTGAGGTTTTCCCAGGGCAATACCACTATGGTATCATAAAAGATGGTTGAGAGGGAGAAAAGAGAGTACTGTCTGTCATGAGGACAGATCCTGGGGCCAGTGATAACGTGTAAGGCTAGTTCCTTTTGTATAACTAGCTAATTTTTATAAAAGTAGAGCTGTTTAATCTAAAATACTCAAAACGATCTACCAAAATTGATTAAAAACCTGCCTGAAATTGTGTGCTGTACAGGTGATCACTCTGGACACTGTCTTTGCTCTCTCCCTATGTCCCTGGAACTGGTTTCTGGCAGGCACGGTGCAGGTTTATGATGCAGAACTGAATTTGCTTGTCTTGTGCTGTGAAGAACATGCACTTGTGCTTGGGTCTAGCCCTGCCACCACTTGGCAGTTCTGTGTCTTCAGTTTTCTCTTTATAGGGTGGGTTACCTTAGTGCCAGCTGAGGACACAGAGTTAATATACACAGCCCTAGAATGTATGCACTATTGCTATAATCACCATTCCCCCCCAAATAGCCTGCATGCATCTTCTACAAAGTACAGAGCGATTACTGCTGAATACTCAGTGTAGTCATACTGAGAAGCTAAGGAACTGTCTGCTTCCTTCTTCTCCTAAAGACAGACTGTGGTCTCAGGGAACCAGTTGGGGGGGTCCATGTGCTTGCAGTGAGAAGGAAAAGGATAAGGGGGGGGGCTGGTGTGTGTATTGTCACAGGAACTATTTCCCACTGTATGTCCAGTCACTCTTCTAACTACTCAGGTTTGTTAAGAAAATAGTTGCTCTATTTGGTGGAGGCGCTGTGTGACTTGGAGCTACCCTTTCTCTCCTCCACAGGTGCAGCAGTACCGAGTAGCCATGACTGCCAAGGACTGCTCCATCATGATCGCACTCTCCCCTTATTTACAAGGCACAAGGTGAGGCACCATTGCATGACACCTATCTTGGTCTAGTAGTACTGTGGAACAAGGATGACAAGTAGACTCCTTTATGTAGAAACTCTGACAGGGCTGCTGTGTCTTTGTTAGACTTGTGCTCATAGGGCAGCTTCTTTTCTTTTCTTTTTTAAAGGATGGGAGCTTGTGTGTGGTATATGTGTGTATGTTCAAAGCAGGGTTTCTCTGTGTAGCCCTAGCTGTCCTGGAACTCACTTTGTGGACCAGGTTGTCCTAGAACTCACAGAGATCCACCTTGTGCCTGCTTCTGTCTCCCACGTGCTGGGATTAAAGGTGTGTTCCAAAGGGATGGGGATTTAGCTCAGTGGTAGAGAGCACTTGCCAATAGCAAGCACAAGACCCTGGGTTTAGTTCTCCGCTCCAGAAAAAAACAAAACAAACCAAAAAACCCAAAAAATCCTAAGCTCCATTTGCTGGGGGGAGGGGGGGTGATGCTACACACACCTTTAATCCTAGTACTCAGGAGGTGGAGGCAGGTGGATCTCATAGAGAACCCTCTCTATGAGTACAAGGCCAGTCTGGTCTACAGAGCAAGTTCCAGGACAGGCTCTAAAGCTACAAAGAAAAAACAAAAACAAAAAACCCAAAAGGCTTGGGTTACCACTGTCCAGCTTGTTACTGTCATTTTTTAAACATCCTAGCCAGTGTATTGTTATTCTCTCTTCTCTTCTGAATAACCAGCCTGTTTGCCATCTCTCTCTCCAAATGTTTGGCTAGTTGTAGTCACCTCCCCTAGCTTTTAGTGTTCAGGCTGAGCCTCATCATCTTGTAATTAGCATCTTCAGCATCCATCTCATCTCATCTCTAGGAGTACCAAAATCTCTGGCATTTTCCACATCTGACCTGTGTTCTTGGGTGAAGGTGACCACCCATCTTCCTGATGTTTTTGAGCATTGTAGTTTCCAGTCAGGTTCTGTGAGAGGCACAGCACTGTCTACTTTCTGGTATTGCATGCTGAGGAACATTTATAGGGCATGACTGGTGAAGGCAGTTGACTGTTTAGCTTAGCTGTGAGGAGCCAGCCCTTGAGTGAACTCAGGTTCTGTGCTGGACGAGAGCAGCTCCCACGGTACCATTTCCTGTTTCTTTCTACTCAAGCAGTTGGGGAAGGGAAGGTGCTTGAATGCAGGGTGCTCAGATGGAAGCTGATTCAAAGGTTAACAGCTGGGAAGTGTAAGGCACTTGAAGGACAGACATGTGACTCATCCCCTCCAGCACAAATGTGTCTATTTGTGTGGTGCACAGTTGTGTCATTTGAGGAAAGCTGAAAGCTGGGGTCCTTGATGGACTGCCCAGTAGAGATCAACATTTGCTGTGAGGGCAGAAGGATGTGTGTCCAGATGGCTGGAGGCACAGGATCCCCAGTCACCAAGTGCCACATCTGCTCCTCTTTCCAGAGACAGGAAGAGTGTCTCATGTTTATGCTTAAAACAAAACTGAAATACCATCATAGCTTGGAAATAGCAGACTCTCAGAAGGTATGTAGTTGGCTCGATCTGACCATAGTCTCCCTCTTTTGCTTTTTTAAGCTGGCAAAGAGATAATGATCAAGAGATAGTTGATGTAGATTTCCCCAGTGTGTGACCCAGTATAACTTTATGATTCTGCTTTCAAATTCTCATTGGTGGAATCTTTACAGGCTAAAAAGTGTTGCAGATAATTTTGATTTAGAAATTTGAAAACAATATACAAATAATGATATGGTTGAGTTATGATACAACCATTTGCTTATACATTTATAATTTTCTATTAATATTTAATCTCTTAATATTCATCCTGAGCTCTCTCTCAGGTTTGGTAGTTTATTTTGTTACAATAAATGCATTGTTAAAAATGAATTTTGTTTAAAGGTCCAAGGTAAAAAAGTAAGGAGAAAAGTAAAGTCGGTAACAAATCATTTCCATTCTTAAGTGTTTCATGAACACTGACTCAAGCTTATTTAATTGTAAAATGTGAAATGTTTAGAACTTGTGAAAGTTTGAAAAGTTTAGCCATTTGTCATTATCTCCTCGAACATATTTTGTGGAAATTAAGAATTTGGTGACCAATTTGAAGAGAGATGACAGACTGGAGGATTCTGAAGAGGAAGAATGGGCTCTGCCCTTCGAGGCTGCCTTACCTATTCAGGTCAGGTCTCAAGGCCAGATAATAGGGCCCATGTATCAGGAGGCTCAATGTTGGTGGTCCAGATCCACCTTAAAGCAAGAGCAAAGGAGCCAGGATGATGGCAACAGGACACTCCAGGGTACCCTACTGCTCTACTTGTCTGCCTGTGGAAGGAGCTGCAGAGGGTGTTTGTGACTAGAGAAGGATGTCCCCACCTCTAGCTTTTCCTTAGAGAATGCACACAGGCATCAGCCTTCTTTGAGGGAGGTGAAGCTGTGCTTGCCAGAATTGTACCTAGGTCAGGAAAACCAGAGGCGTTAGGACTGGTTCATCCCAAAATACACAGTAAACCCAAGGCTGAATTTATATCCCCAAATGTTGATGTACAGTTCACAAACCTGTGTAGCTGCCATTTGTTTCTATCAGAGTTGAGGTTCTTAAGTTTCTTCCTGTTGCTGCAGGCCTTTGAAGGGTTTGGAACTACCAGGAAAGTTCTTATCACTTCGTGTCCCTAAATCCTGCTATGTCTGTTATAAACAACTATCAAGGTGAAGACAGCAGCTACCCAGCCCCCCAGATCATTCCAGAACCGGTTTCTAGAGCTACCACGGGGGATATGTATGTGGTCATGGCAGTAGGGATAACTGTGCTCTGACTTTTGCTGAGTCTTAGCCATATAGTCTGAAGGAGACAAGCTTTTCATTGTTAAGCTGGTGTATACTGGCCTGTGCCTTTGGCTGTCCTGCAGCTTGTGGTCACCTGTCAGACCTGTGATTGAGCCCAATTAAATTTTCCCCCCTATAAACAGGAATCTGGAGCAACAAATGAGAATCAAAGCCCTAGTGTACTTTAGAACACGCCATGTATGTCTGTTTTTTCTTCCATCTCAGGAGGTTTTTGAACTGGTATTTTGTCTGTCTTATTTGTAATGATTTCTAAATCCACAAGAGTAGAGAACATGGAGGAACCAGAACTCCCTAACAGTTGTCTTGTGCCAGCCTGGGATTAGATGCCATTCAGGCAATAGGACGATGCTGTGTACTGTGTTTTCAGGACAGTTGGACACACTGCAACCTCAGTATCAGGTTTGAAGTTACTCTGAAAAGATTTTGAATTCAATGTTCATATTGTTAGAAACACATGACTTTCTGATGTTTATAAAACTCACAGAGGCCTGGAGAGACAAAAATCACTGATGATGTATGTGATTTGAGAGTTAACACAAAGCCACAAAGGAGCTGGTTCTCAGCAGCCATGGGAAAGTGCATAAAAAGTCTGTTTTCAACAGTTATCCATCTGGCTGCCGCACAGCCTGATCTACTTTTTTACTTTTTCTTAGATTTTGTAATACTTGGCTCATGATAAAGTGATTTTTCCAGCATTCTTAATACCACTAGAGCATGGGGAATATCACTCACGCATTCCACGTAATTGCTTTTCCACCTTCTCTTCTTTTAACCCCCTGCCCAGACAGTGTGCTGGCCTGTGTCCTAGTAGTCACCTAACCTGTGCTAGTATTGAAGCTGCCACAGACACGGAATGGGTGCTCTGAGAGCTGGGCTGGGAAGGCCTGAGGGGCTGTATAATCTGAAATTCTTTTGTTACTTTCAGCTCTGACCAGAGACCTGTTATCCCTTCATCAAGGTCCCGGCTGGCCTTCTCTGTGTCTGTACTGGACCTCGACCTCAAGCCCTACGAGAGCATTCCTCACCAATATAAACTAGACAGCAAGATAGTCAACTATTACTCAAAGACTGTGCATGCCAAAGACGACACTGTCAGGTCAACTCGGTTCAAGGAACATGAAGATTGCACATTAGTTCTCCACAAGGTCTAACTTACCCCTGCGGTGTCTTTGAAACTTGAATGTGAACGTTGAATGACAGAGCTATTTTCGGTTGTGTTGGGTGACTTGGCTGTGAATGTTTTTGCTTTTAACCCTTGCTGAGGTTAGACTGCTCTCAGAGACAAGGAATTGAAGAGCACTAGAATCTTCTAGGACAAGGAATGTAGGACGTGAGTGCTGTGTCCCAGCAAGCCATCTGTTTTCTAGAGTGGAAGTGTCCGTTAAGACCCAGGAAAACATCCCGGGTAGTTCTTCCAAGCAGAACTCACGTCTAATTCTCTAATGCAAAAGCCTTATTATTAAGACCCAAGGTTTGGATCTCCTCCCACCAGACTCTTAACATAGAGAACTTGAATTGTTCTGAGTATCTTACAGTTTGGATTTTCAAGAAAACATGGATACTACTGGAACTTTCCCAGCTGTTAACTGGTCACCTTTTCAATGCAAGTCATACATCAACACAGGTGTTGGGTGGTTCCCTGCTGCAGAGCGGTCAGGGTAGTGTGGACATTGGTTCTGAGTGGTCTAGACTCAGGTCCCTGTGGAGGTACTGAAGCCCATGGCTTTGTAAGGGGCAACAGCAGGGAACACAAGACTCAGGTCAGGATGGACACCACTCGCATGAGCCTTGCTTTTTTTTTTTTTTTTTTTTTTTTAAATTTTTCTTTAATGATTTTAACTCTAGGGGAAGCTGAGGCGTTTTTTCCTACCTGAAATTGCTGCTGCTGTAGAGACTGGAAGCAGAGCTGTAACTCAGAGCTGCTGTGGTCAGCTGGGTGGGTGTGCCTGACAGCCCGGAGTTTTCCTGGCACTCTGGTGTCTCAGATGGTTGAGGAACAAGGTTCCCTTCCTCCTGAGCCACATTCATCCCTGGGGATAGCTCTGGGGCATGTTGGGTATGTGGGTCTAGGGCCTTGCTGTTTTCATCAGGGCTATGGAAGGCTCCTAGCTGGCACTTGAGGATTCTTATTGGGGTCACCAAAAGTGTGCCTGGCTGCTATGAAATCATTGGGAGTTTTGGCTTCATTTTTTTATCCTATGGTAGGCTGTACAGACTGATTATTTATATCATCCTTTCAAGAGACTAATGAAGGCTTATTGTAACATAGTAAAAACCATGGAACTGTATGAAAATGCTACATGAAAAATGAAGAAAATATTTTGCTGATTGTAAACTTTTGTGGGAAATTTTGTGATAATTTGAAAATTATACTTGTTTGAATCAAGCAACCTCCTATAGAATTTGTTAAATTCTGCCCTAATATTTAACTATTTTGAACACTCAGGTAAAAGACACTTGTACATTTGGATCCTTGACTTTCTTTTGACTGGTGTATGCTGGGATATGTGCTTATAGCTTTCACCTGAGGCATGTGCTTGAAGGTCATGCTTTCATGACTGGACGTGCAGGGGAAAGTGGCCTTCAGATTTGTTTTGACTCAATGTTGACTGGTTTGGAGGCAGACTAGCCATGTTCGTGCATGTGTGTGGTGTGCGAGAACATGTATGTGCCTGATGCCCCAGTACTCATCTCAGTATGACTGGGTCGCAGGCTCTCAGTAGTTTCACAAAATTTTTATTTCTCAAACACTGGTTTCTCTTGGAGAATTACTATTTAGCAAGAGGCTAAACAATATGATGGGTGGATGGAAACAAGCAACCTCTCCTGGGGTAAAAAACACAGAGCACTCTGTTGATGTGGGCAGGGCTCTATTCCAATTGTTTTCTGATGTGCTCTACTTAACTAGTTCAGGTTGCCCACACCAACCCATCATTTTATAACAGTGGGTAACTGAGGACCTCACCAAATGGCAGCTCTGTATCTGAAGTGACACAGCTTTAGACTGGGTAGTCCTTTTGTGGTGCTGGGTATTGGTTGGATCTAAGGCCTTATACATCTTAGGCAATTGTCTACTGTGGAGGTATACTTCAGCCTTTGTATTCTGAGACAGTGGCTTACTATGTAGCCAAGGCTGGTGTTAAACTTGGGTTGCTCTCGTGTGCTGGCATTATAGTCATGTACCACACTCAGACTGTGGGTGTGTCTTCAGTGTAAGTTCCCAAGTAAAGGGAACAATGCAGTCATCACTGTCAAACAGTGCTACTTTTGTAGGAGACCAGGAGTGTAAGGACTTTCTGGGAGATGCTGCTATGGCAGACAAGGTAGGTAGCTTTGGGTTGGACTGTGTCCCATGCTGTCCTTGGCCATCTTGATATGAGGTTGGAGGTAAGGCTCTTTTACACTCATTTGAGAATGGACAACCATTCTTGGAACACTTTCTCAAATATTAAACTTATTTGTACAAAGCACTATGCATGTTGCTTTTAACATATTGAAAAGCTTTATTTCTATGCTATGGGAGTTCTATGTAATGCACAAACTAGTGTACACAAAAAGCATGTTTGAAAAGAGCAAATGTTCATACTTAACATAAGTCACATGTTCCTCAGCCCAGCCTCTTATTCCTATATGCTTGCCAGCAGGGAACTAGTCATTTTCCACACAAAGCAATTTTATCAGGCTGTCAAGAGCAGCTTCAATTCCAAGTACTCCTAGCAGTCTTCGGAAACTGAGAGGAGCAGTTTCTATGACCCTGTTCTTGTCCAGCTCCAGGGCTGTGAAGAAAACATACCTGGTAAGAAACCTGATAGTGTCTGTCTAATAAGATCCTTCCTCTCTCAACAGCCACACAGTGGGAGTCATGAGAGACAGGGTGGGGAAGCCCAAGGAGCGATGTCACCTCTAACTTGAGGCAGAGAAAATGCCTTGCACCAACCACACAGCCTGAAAAGGCCTCAGGACAGTAGTTCCCTCTCATGTCCTGTTTGGGTGGTTACTTGAGTAAAGTATATTAAAAGGTGATCTACAAAGAACATTAATGACAGTTTCAAATTTTGATAAGACACTCAGATGGCTTTGTTGGGTCCACTGACAGGACTTGTGGAAAGGGTGTCTGTACATAGAGTCTTACCTCGCTCTGGGACTTTGGTGAGAAGATCCAGCTTTGGGAAAACCTTCCCTTCCTCATCTATTTGTATCCTCCAAACAATCACCAGTTCAAACCTGAAAAAGAGGCAATGTTTGGTGCTCTTGGAATTCAGAAAGATTAGCCTCTGGACATGTGGTCTCGGCTGGCTAGACTCACCTCCTAAAGACCTCTCCCCACAGAGGAAGAAGGTGTGTGATCAGTTCCATCAGTGTGGAAACTTGGGCCACAGCAATAGGCTTTGTACCTACATCTTGGCAAACATCAATGTGATAAGTAATGGGACAGGCAACAGGATGTTCCTGCAGGGGTGTTGTGGCAATAGTCTTTGAAAATGATGGCGAATGGGTAGGAAGCTGCACACACACTTTCCTCATGGTTGGACTTTCCTTATTCTAGGAGCAGCCCATGTGCTATAATATGGCAGGAGAAATAGGAATGAAAAGCCCAAACCTTCAGGACCTGAGGAGTACAGTCAGAGCTCACTGGAGGATGAGGCATGACAAAGGCCAGCCCCAGCAGCCTGTGTAAGAAAAACCCTGCTAGAAGGCAGACTCGGTGCGGTTAGGCTGTGGATCTAGGTCCTGAAGCACAAATGGGCACACGTGAAACATGGAGGAGAGTGGCAGTGGCTGTGGGAAGGCGCTGCCGAGAATCTTAGGTGCCCAGCGTGGAGGTGCCCTGTTTATCTCAGCTTCTCTGAGACTGCTGACCTCAGGCCTCCTCCTGCCGTCTCTGTTGTACCAGCAGGCACACACACACCTCTACCTTCTCTGGGCCATCCCAGGACCCTGAAGAGAAATGCTTCTTGCTGCCCCCAGGCCAGCATTTATCCCCTGCAGCCCTGCACTCCTTCCTACCTTTGCTCTCCCTTCATGGCTAAGTCCACCTGCCACTGTTGGCGGGTGTCTGCTGTAATTCCACCCATTTTGCACGGGATATTCTTTAGTCCTCCTTAGGTAGTTTCTTAGCCTCTACTATGTATGGACAGTCCTGGTTCCAGGACTTAGTGCTGCACAGACTTACCCTGGCTGTCTGGCACTGCGGATCTCCATGCAGCGGGAACAGGTGCCCTCTGAGAGATATACGATATCTGGGTACTTCTCCTGTATGTGAGAATAAATGGTTACAGTCCGACTCATCTAGAGGAAATGGCATCCTGAAAGCCAGGAGAAATATTCTGGAGTCTGAGATACAAGTGGTACCCACTTACTGTTCCCACGCTTACCTATTTTGCCACCCCAGGAGCTCATGGCTGTCCCTTTCCTGAGATCTCATGATATCACTATACAACTTCAGTTCCAATTTCTTTTGTATTTCTGCCTGCCTACCACTTGGGGCAACTTGTCAACTCTTTCTCAGGACCTGAAGGAGCACTACAGCCCTCAACCCAGTGTCTGAAGGGCTTTGTAAAATGGAGACTTATTCTTTGTCAGCAAAGTCTTTGGAATTGAGGCTCTTGTGGGTATTGGCTGCTCTCCTGCTTGAGCAGATGCACCAAGCTGATCCTCACAACTCATCCAGATAAGCTCTGCCCTTGAATCCTTGACATGGGCCAGCTCCCCACTCAGGTGCCCACACCATAGTGGAGGTACCAGGCTCCCATTGTGATAGGGAATGCTTGGGGTTTGGTGTCAGCTTCAAGGGGAGAGCCCTACCATTCCTGGATGCAGTGCTCTGTCTACAGAGAACGGGAGTGGGTTGAATGTTACAGATTTCTAGGTTTGCCACTCTGCTTGTTGTTGCCACAGCAGGACCTAGGAGGTGCTAGCATATCAGAACTGGTGTACTCATATCACCATGACAACAGAGCGTGTTTTCCAGTTGTCTGAATGGGTGACAAATATAACTGATGTAAATAGTAGTGGCCCTTTTTGTCTGTTCTTGTGCAAACAGACTACAGGGTTAGAGGATAAAGAACAGACATGAAGTTGCCACTGTGAGATTTTTCAAAGGCCAGCTTTGAAAGATCCTTCCATGTGTCCCCTCAGTGCCTGAAGAAGAAATGCTTCCCAGGGTGATAACTAAGTCAAGCAAGGGCTATCCCTCAGGGCAGCCAGAGAGCCACTGTCACCATGGGCTAGGGCTGAGACCTGGGGCAGAGCCTTCTAGACTGTAGAGAATGGCTGGATTAAAGCAGTCTGGGTCCATCAAACAAGGTTCCATGGGGACAAAAATGTATTACAACCCTTCAGAGAATGCAGAATAATACCCTTGGGAGAGCCACTGCTGGCATGGGAAGCCAAGGCTGTCGGCGTCTATGCATGTAGCCACCAACAGAACATCCAGACTCCAAAGCTGGGGTGGGCTGGTGTACTTTACAGATAATTACTAATTTTACAAAACAGAGTTTTTAGGAGAAAAATGTATACCTAAGTGATTTCAGTGGAAAGTGTTGGTTGATGTTTAAACCTCAGGCTCTTCTAAATTAATAACAACTGTTTGAGGAACGTAAAGGAGTGTGTGTGAACGTGGCAGTTCAGCTTCCAGACTTTGCTTGGCGGCAGCACATGGGGCTCAAGGGAGTGCTGGGGCTTGGGCTGGCTCCAAGGTGGGGCCTGAGGCTTGGCCTCCAAGCAGGAGGGAGCTGATCTCCACTCCTTAGGCTGCTCTGCCACATGAACAAAAGGAAGACTCAAATTAGATGCTTTGACTAAAAAGTACACTCTTAGTTTTTATAATGTAGACAGGAATGCTGACATTGGGCAGAGGGCAGGCATTCACACATGTGCTTCTGGAAAGCTAAGACTGCAAAAAGCTTCTTCCATGGAAGTTATGGTTGTTGCATTTAGCCAGCTTCATTCCTTGCCTGAACACCAACTCTAGAACAAAGTGCAGAGTAGAAAGGAATTAAAAGCTGACAGCCTGTGTAGATCCCAAGAACAGCAACCTTATCAAAGTTACTAATATAAGTGCCATTCTTTTTTTCCTTAAATATTTTATGTGCATTGGTGTTTTAGTTACATGTGTGTCTGTGTGAGCTGCCAGAGTTACAGTTGTGAGCTGCCATTTGGGTATTGGGAATTGAACATGGGTCCTCTGGAAGAGCAGCCAGTGCTTTTTATAAGTGCCATTAAAAAAAGTTTTATTTATATATTTATTATGTATGCAGTGTTCTTTCTGCCTGCATGTATGCCTGTGCACCAGAAGAGGACACTGGATCTCATTACAGATGGTTGTGAGCCATCATGTGGTTGTCAGGAAGTGAAATCAGGACCTCTGGAAGAGCAACCAGTGCTCTTAACTGAGCCATCTCTCCAGCCCCCATAAATGCATTCTTATTCTTTGGTTTTGCTCCCCACCCCACCCCCAAGACAGGGTTT